ATCATCGACGGGAAAACCAATCTTGCATCTCAGTCTTTTGTCCAAGCAACCAATCTGCCCACAATAAGAAGCATAGATGAGCAACAACCGTATCACAAGATCCTCGAAGAATACCCTGGTATCACAAGAATAACTTCAATGAAATTAATACCGAAGAACTACGTTGAGCATTTCATCGAAAACAATGGACCACCACTTCATTGCCGTGCACGTCCAATCGCACCACACCTATACGAGCAAGCTCGAAAGGAATTCGAAAACATGATTGAGCAAGGAATATGCCGTCCAAGCAAAAGCCCTTGGTCCTCACCACTTCACATTGTACCGAAGAGGAACGGAGAATTACGAGTTTGTGGAGATTACAGAAGACTGAATTCTATTACCACTCCTGACCGCTACCCAATACCGCGAGTCAGGGATTTCACTCATCAACTATCAGACAAGACTATATTCTCCACCATCGATCTCAACCGAGCTAACCAACAAATAAGAGTACGCGATGAGGACATAGAGAAGACAGCAATAATTACCCCAATGGGGTTATTCGAATTCCCAAGAATGATCCCAGGATTAAAGAACGGAGGTCAAACTTTCCAAAGATTCATACATGAAGTACTTCATGGACTGGATTTCGTTTTCGCATTTATTGATGATCTCCATGTTGCAAGCCCTGATAAAGAAACGCACGAAACACATCTACGCACCGTGCTACAGCGATTAGAAGACAACGGAATCACAATCAACGGAAGTTCAATTTCTTGGTTTCACCGTCAGCAAGGAAGGAATCAAACCGCCTGCCGAAAAAGTCAGAGCAATCATCGATTATGCAAAGCCTAAAACTATCGAAGAGCTAAGGCGTTTTCTTGGGATGATAAATTTTTACAGAGAACACATACCTAAAGCCGCGGAAATCCAAGCACCACTTCACACCTACCTTCACAACATGAAGAAAAAAGATAAAACTTCAATTGAATGGAACGATGAAGCCACGAAGGCATTTGAAGCTTGTAAAGTTGCGATCCAAAATGCAGCTTTACTCGCTCACCCATCACACGAAGCAACACTTGCTATCTTCAGCGACGCATCCGATCTCTCAGCAGGAGCCGTTCTCCAACAATAAAGCAATGGGAAACGGCAACCACTTAGCTATTTTTCGAAGAAGTTCTCCGATACTCAACGTAACTACAGTACATTCGACCGAGAGCTACTCGCTATTTACATGGCTATCAAGCACTTCAGAAAAACGTTCGAGGGTCGAAACCTGATCGTTTTACCGACCACAAGCCATTAACATACGTACTTCCAAAGAAACCATCACTATCGGAAACACCACGAAGAGCAAGACAACTTATTTTCATAAGTGAATTCACGACCGACATACGTCATATCAGTGGAAAGGACAACATAGTTGCCGACGCACTCAGCCGCGTACCAATCGACAGCGTAACGTGCCCTACATCAATCGACTATCATAAGATCGCCGCAGCACAAGACAGAGATAGTGACAACATAAAACATCTATCGAAGCAAGGTAACTTGTCCATCAAGCAAGTTACAATGCCAATGACGCATCTACCTATATACTGTGAAGCCTCAACGACAACCATGCGACCATACCTACCAGAAGAATGTCGTCGCGAAGTCTTCAATGCACTGCACAACATCAGTCATCCAGGTGTTAGAACAACAAGAAAACTCATCACTGAAAAATTATTTTGGCCTTCAATGCAAGTGGATGTTGGCAACTGGGCGAAGCAATGCATTCAATGCCAAAAATGCAAAGTACAAAGTCATACATCAAGTAGCCTAGCTACATTTCCACCCACGGAGAGATTCGAACACTTGCACGTTGACATCGTTGGACCATTACCTACTTCACCGCAAGGACATCGTTATCTCGTAACAATGATCGACAGAACAACAAGATGGCCAGAAGCAATACCTACCGATGATACTTCAGCCGAATCCGTCGCGAAGATAATTTATGAAAATTGGGTTACTCGTTTCGGATCACCTAAAACCATCACAACGGATCAAGGAAGAAACTTCGAAAGCAACCTATTCCTCAAACTTCTTCAAACTATGGGAATACAGAAGACACGTACAACAGCATACCATCCCCAGTCAAACGGAATAATCGAACAATGGCATCGTACATTAAAGACCGCACTCAAAACTCGTTTATCTCAACATACAAAGTGGATTGATGAGCTCCCTACAGTGCTACTCGGACTACGAGCAACACCGCGTGCAGACACTAGTCTTAGCGCCGCTCAGCTAACCTACGGCTGCAGCATAAGACTGCCGTGTGACTTCTTCGGTTCAGCAGCGTCAAACAAACAAGAAATGGATTAGGATTTCGTAACTCAACTTCGAGAATCAATCAACAAAGCCTTATCGTCGAAATGCACCGAAATGCAATCACACAGAAATAATAAATCAGTATTCATTCACCAAGATTTGAAAACATGCAAGCAAGTTTTTGTAAGAAACGACGCAATGAAAAAACAATTTCAACCTACCTTTTTTTTTTAGCATGTGGAAATGCCTACGCATACCCGCCTCGCGGGGGCAAGGACGGTTTATGTCGGACTCGCACCGACTAAAACCCCATGGTGTTCCACCTTCGTCGCATATTGGCAGGGCTACGGAAACGCTTTCGCACACTTCGCGGCCCCACCAGCGACTGCCGCCCCATGGCAGCACCTCATCGGGAGAGGAATATTCCTCCCCCGTTCTCCTTCCCAAGTAAGGCGCACCAGAACACATGGCACGCCTTCCTCCACGGCCTCCAACTACGTCTGCGCAACAGACGCCCCCGCGTCCGATGCGCAAAGGCCATGGGGCCAGGAAAAACGAGCACTTAGAAGTACTAGCCTTCCCGACTCCAGCGGCGGATCTGGTCTATGGCTCCGCCGCCAACCAAGATTCGGCTGCGGAGGATAGGGAGAGCGGCGCCTCGCAATACCGACAATCCTCTCCCCCCGCAGCCCCATCACCACCGCATCAACGGTGCGGCCCCGTTTGAGTCGCGGAGGATAGGGCGAGTGGCGCATCGCCGTACCAACACTCCTCTTCCTCCGCGACTCCACCTCGGCTGCAGCGGTAGGTGGGGAGGACACACCTCTCACCGCAGTCCACTAACACACATCCGAAGTGGGCTTCCCAAGCCCACTCGGAGTGGCCACCTCGGGCCGGCCCTCCACCTCGGACCAGCCATATGGGTTCCTCTTTGTTTCGCCGTGGGTGACCAAGCCACGGCTTCTAAGCCTCCCGCCACGACAAGGCGGGAACCCGTTCGGGGGGGGGAATTTCAACCTACCTACGATGGACCGTATAAAGTATTAGAGAGAAATAGCAAGACTTTTAAACTACAAATACCCGGAAGGAAATCTACGATTATTTCGATCGACCGACTAAAGCCTGCCTATATTATTAACGAGGATACTTCAGAGGATTCATCATCATCGTCAAAACCACCAGCGAGGAAGCTTGAAACTCCATCATATACATCAACCCAGTTGAAACCTATTTTAAAAACTACGAGATACGGGCGAGTCGTCAAGCCTCCGGTACGCTTTCGCTAGGGGGAGAGTGATGTAGCAGCCAGACTAATCAACCCTAAACGGGAATAAATAATATATACTCTGCTGCTACCATAACGCGGAAGGCGAGGATAAAAAAACATTTATTTCCTAACTATCCTTGGCTACTGAGATACTGCGGACTGCATATAGATAATTTGACGTTCTTATAAAGAAACAAGAAGCAAAATATCATTAGACATTGACTTCACACGCCGCTATCGTCACGTATCCGTCGACCAATGGTGAGCCGTTTCTTCAACGCCGCAGTTCGCTTCTTCTCGCCGTTCCGGAGCTGTATTCCACGCCGCCGCCGCTCACCGACTACGCGCGCGCACCGATCTGCATGTCTTTTATAGCCCGGTCCAGCGACGTAGTTTCGTGAACAAGAAAACAAGTCTCACGCCGGGAAACGAAACGTAGATAATAGTTGTATATTTTGAATAATTTTAATTGGTCATAATATAAGCATTATAATTTGCTAGATAAAATAAAAAATTGTTACCATTGGCAAATCAATTGTAAGCCAGCCATATAAATATAGGCACGGTTGATGCAAATATATTCCATTCCACATTCATTCCATATTCATACTTCAATCGGACTTACATAAACAGTCGTTTCATTTCTCCACCTTAAAACCACTCGGAATCTGTTAATAGTGGACCGTCCATCTCCACTATTACAAAAGTAATAAACACGTCCTAGATAATTACAACAAATAAATGAACATAAACTTAAGAATTTAGTTTTACGTACGAAATATTAACGACTCTATATTATCAATATTAGTATTGTGTTTAAAGGACAGTAATATTATTGTTTATTAGGGTATTAATAAAGATTATTGTTTTGCTTGTAAGAGTGGTCGCTACACTATAAAGCGTGTTTCAGTTTAAGGATAACAATGTAAAATAATCAATATTATTAATTTCTACATTCCATGCAATTTATCGGTAAATATAAGTTCGGATGAATAAGACCTCTGTATCTATATTTGTCTTCTTATACAATATAAAATCCAGTTTACACTGTATATGTTATTAATCTAAGGCCGATATCAAACACTTAACACTCTGTAGTTAATAGTCGTAATAGTAAACACCACATGAGTAGATAAACGGAATTATTTACTCATGTGGTGAACACAGAGTGGTGGCACAGAGTAAAATTTTCACCAAGGAATTTTAAATTTTGCTAAGTAGTAATTACTGACCGATTGGCTGAATAAGCTGTGAATAATGAGTAATTTCAAATATTCCTTTTTCAACAGTGTGTTTTATTTTATATATTAGGTATCTGTGTTATATAAATATGTTTGAATTTCAAGCACTAGGCATAATCTGCTAATCTTAGTCTTAGTCTTATAGTTTTACCTCTAGTTTTCTTCCCGAAATAGAAGATATTTTCTTTTAGATGGACTATATCGGAAACACGATCAGGCGAGGGTTTACGCTCAGTTCTCAACATACGCGCGGTGGAACGCGAAGACGCGGGCGAGTACCGCTGTCAAGCTCATAACCGCTTCGGCAAGAGCGAGCTAATTATATTTCTATACGTCGAAGGTGAGAATATGTTTTATTACATTTTTTATTTCACTCGAACGTTATCTTACATCATTGATAGGAGTGAGCGATACAAATTGTATATCGCTATATATACGAAATCCATATATCGATACAACATTTAATATCTATATATTGGGCTAAAGACTATGTATAAGATACCGCTGTATTACAGCATCACTTGACACAACATCAAACTTAGTAATGTATTACAGCATCACTTGACACAACATCAAACTTAGTAATGTATTACAGCATCACTTGACACAACACAAACGCAACGCCACTTGACACAACATCAAACTTAGTAATGTATTACAGCATCACTTGACACAAAATCAAACTTATTAATGTATTACAGCATCACTTGACACAACATCAAACTTAGTAATGTATTACAGCATCACTTGACACAACATCAAACTTAGTAATGTATTACAGCATCACTTGACACAACATCAAACTTAGTAATATATTACAGCATCACTTGACACAACATCAAACTTAGTAATGTATTACAGCATCACTTGACACAACATCAAACTTAGTAATGTATTACAGCATCACTTGACACAACATCAAACTTAGTAATAGTATGTACCTTCTATTTACTCAGAACAATAAATTAACTCTTTTAGAACATTATTTAATACCGAAATCAAAGACATAATACTAATAACGTAAAATTCTTGTAAAACATCTTTGGAATGTAGATGGAATAACCTATGTCTAATCTTTGGCTTAGAGCCCCCGGAAGCACCACGATCAGTGCTATTGGGTGGAACGAGTTCGCGTTGGATTCGTGTCCGATGGCGGGCCCGACCCGAAGCTACCGTGCAATATTCCGCTCTCTGCACTTCGCTTAACACTCTGCCAACTCCAGATGATACTACACTGGCTATCAACCTTACATTAGAAACAGGAGATGACGATACGTAAGCTATGGTTAATTTATTTTATCTGTGATACAAACATTTAAGCGTTGGATTCTATTGTTGCTGTGGTATGAGAAATATGATTATAATTGTAGACCTGACTCTCAAGGATATCGTTCATTGAGTTCAAAACTGGAAGGTCTTCGGCCGGCCGCTGCGTACTCCCTGCGCCTTATCGCCTCTAATCACGTTGGCCAGTCGCCACATTCTGAACCGCTGCTCTTTACGACGTTAGAAGAAGGTAGGAGTCAAATTTTGTTTTATCTCACGCGACAACCGCGTATTTGTAATCTAGCTGATGGTGTGGCTACTGTAATATAAGGATACCTGAACTTAAAAAAAGAAAGCTACAAAGTAGAGGTCACCTTTATAAACTAAGATAGAATATAAAAATAATAATTTAAACATAATTGCATAAAATCTTGCAGTTTTTTTTTACTTGTTAAACAGTTAGTATTTATTAGTAATTAATTATAAGGTTATATATATATATATATATATATATATATATATATATATATATATATATATATATATATATGGTATGTATATATATATATATACATAATATATATATATTTATATATAATATAAAAAAAAAGGTAAGTTCTTTATATTATTGCAGTACTGATTGACGACAGAAGCTGAAATTATGATTTTCTACATAGTTTAAAGTAGAATTTAGTCGTAGTAAGATAATAACATAATAAATAAAAACATGTTCCTTCCTCACAGATAAGGGATATGTTTTAATTTATATAACCGTTTTTGTCTAGCAGTAAGAGAACATTACAATAAATTTCAAGAAACTGCTGGGCAAAGCGAAAAATGTATAATAATTCATAACAAGTTACAAATAGCAAATAAGATACAACTCATAATATTTGTTTTAGCTCCAAACGGAACGCCGCAGAATATTCACGTAAAGCCAGTTAATACGGAAGAGCTGCACGTGTCTTGGTCGGTATGTGCTAGAAACTTTAATTTCTCAAAATTGTGTTTAGTAGTAATAATAAGTCTTAAGGAACAACGTACGAATTCTTTGGAAATAGTAAACAAAGTTAGGATAAAAATTGACATTTAAAGAAAATGTAAACGGAACAGTTTTAAAATTCTGACCCTTTTATTTATGACCAAATTTATTTTCGAATGTAACTTAGAGTGAAGGTATTTTAGAAAATAACTTCTTACGTTATTTAATATTCTATATAATTCTGTAATAGTTCCAAAGATACTTTCGAAAATGTTTAATAATTTTTAATTATTTTAACCTAAAATATTTTATTTATTTATTTATTTATTTATTCTTTTTTGTACACCACAATACAGAAATATCAATATAGTTATATATCTTATCACATTATCACATTATTATATTTATATGTCTTATCACTCTGAAAGTGATTTCTTCAATTTTACCTATACATAAGCGTAGGCGTAGCCGTATTATATTATAAAGTAAATCTTTATATATTTAATCTTTAAACCTTCACTTATATGCTGCTTATTTAAACTTACATTTTGTCACAGGCTCCCGCACAACACACATGGAACGGAGAACTGCTGGGGTATGTGGTGTCGTGGCGAGAGCTGAGTCGGATGGAGGAGGATAGCGCTGAGTGGGAGGGAGCAGATGAGGGGGCAGGGTTGCGTGCCGGAAGTGCAGTGTCCGTCGGATGGAGTAGCTCAGAGATAGCGTTGGTCGGGCTACGAGAGTTCGCGCGCTACGCGCTCACAATGCGCGCCTACAACGCGGCGGGTGCCGGTCCGCACTCGCCCGTCGTATACGCTACAACTGCTGATGGGGGTGAATTCGCACATCTATTCTTATATTTCTCCTTTACATCCCACTATCAGAGATGGGCCTCCAGGATATATCTTTTTTTTTGTAAAGTTTTTATCCTATACATTATTGTAACTCTATTCTTCTTCACATTGTCCTTTGTGAGATCGAAAAACATGTTAAAAATATAATATAAAATAATCATGCTTTAATTTTTGAATCAAGAATGCCTACAAGACCAAGCAAATACAATAGATTACGAGGAACAGGTGATAAGCTTAGCATTGTTGATGACGCCACTCCAATCGTGAAATGTCCATAGAACGACTTACGCGGTTGGACCAAAAGCTGATAGTAGCCTGGGTTAATTATGACATCAGGAGGTCAAACACTTTAACCCAGCCGAGATCATGAGTGCTCTAAAGCACCCAAAACGTCTGAAATTAAAATAAGTTAAATTAAACGCAATAAAATTCTTGAAATTAGATTTATTCGATGTTCATAGTAGTTTAAGGTTCAGTAAGCATTACAATATTATATAGAATACTAGCTTGCCAGGCAGACATTGTTCTGCCGTTTTTGACGACCTTTTGTCATGTCCTATTAAAAATCCTTAAATTCGCAAAAAAATTTAGGTTACTCATGGGCAAAAAACTACCCTATCTTTCAAGTCGGACGAAACTGCACACACGCAAAGAAAAATGGGATCACCAAAAAACAACCGTTCCATATATATACGTTATGAATATTATATTACGGACGATATATATATATATATATATATATATATATATATATAAATATAATATTCATAATTGACAAAAATCTTCGTTATTGCAATTTATTCTATCCCATATTTCTAATTAGTTCCCGAGACAGCACCAAGCGACGTGACGTGTGTATCGGAGGGCGCGCGTTCGTTACGAGTGCGCTGGGCGCCGCCGCGCGCCGCACACAACGTGCTAAGCGGCTACGATGTGCTCTACGCACCGATACACAACGCGCCCAGTAAGTACTACGAACTCTTAAGTGTGTGTTTGAGCTAGATGCCGCGATAGTCGTTATTCGTGAGGTTTTTAGAAGTTTTCTGCTTGTTTCACCTTCACCTCGTTTTTTGGCTCTAGAAAATCGAAAAACACCGATCGATGTTTTTTTTTAAATATTCATTATTACGTCGGATTTATGAAAAAAATTATAAGGCTAAAAAATGAAAATTTACATTGGTTTCAAGACTTTAAATGTTCATGAAAATGCACTCATTCACGTATAATTGTTGATATTTTTTATAAATAATCAAATGAAGTTGATATATTTTTTTCATAATCTACACAAAAAAAGAACATTTAAAAAAAATGTTTGTTTATTAATTTTTTAATTTGGATTTTATTGAGCGTAAGATCGAGCAATGAGAGCTCCGGACTTAGGGGAATCCCAACTCGGAAAAGTTAGATTAGAAGGAGATGGCGGGTTCGAATGCTCCACCATCTCCTTCGTTGTTATTTTTTTTTATAAACCGCTCAGAAGTACGTGCCCGGACTTCTCTTGACTGTGCTACGGGAGAGAGTTGGGGTAGGGAAGCACCACGCCACTCACCGTTAAAAAAATTGCAAAATATTTATCAAAATGCACGGGGATTGCTGACACAAATCCGCATATTTAAAAGAAATGCAGCCTTAAATTGCTACGATATAAAATCAATGACGAAAACTTGCATCGCATTAGGGATAGTGAACTTTTCGACGAGCGTTACATAGTGTGGCGGCGTGACAGCGAATAGGTACTACGGCACCGCGCAGCGCAGCGGTGCATGCTGGTGGCCGTGCGCCATAAGCTTGCCGTCGCCGAGCGCCTAGCCTGGCAACCCTCTGCCGAATATATTTTTCTCACAATATCGTTCCATACTAAAACTGGACCTTCTCACACTACATTTTTGTACTACATATTTATGTGACCAGATTCTTTCACGAAATTCAATTAATAATCATCTAGAAAATTTTATGACTAAGCTTGGGAATAAATTTCATTCCGCTCCTAATGATCTATTTATTATGCTGGGAAATTTTAATATGCCAAATATCGACAGTTAAAAGGGTTTGAAACAAAAAATTTAAGTGTTGTACATTAGCTAGGATTTGAAGACTCAATTGTCAATAATCAACGCTTGTATTGGTCTAACACAAAGTCGTTAAACAGATCCTCACACGCGCTACCGGCTGGGATGAAATATGAGGATAAATCTGAGGATGCTGGTGAATCTGTTTGTAATTTATTTGCTGAATATTTTCAAACCACTTTCCTTATTCCTAATGCTAAACCCGAACCTTGAAAATCAATACCAAAATAGTTTTAGTATAAGTAACATACAAACAAACACTTCAATTGTATCCATTTGTACACGTGGTAGAGCCACGCTGCAATTATATTATGGTTGTAGCAAGAATGAGTCGGCTCGGCCGGTGTAGGACCACGCTCTCATAGAATATCAGCTTCAAATAGCAGTATTTCGTATTGTGAGTGTAGTGAACCGCAGGCCGTTTTTAGTGAAAATGAGGCATTCCATCTTAGTATTAAGGGTGACAACATATCCGTATTTTCATTCTTAATCAAGGATAAATGTATGTATATATATATGAGTCACAGCACCCACTTACCATCAGATAGACCATGTGCTTGTTTGTCACACTTATTCTATAAAAAGATATTGGTTTTAGGTTTTTAGAAGCCAGAGTTTTATTATACACAGATGACACCAACATTTTAATGGGCATCAATGGGTTCGCTGATGGTGAACAATTATAATGCAATTTGAATAAATTTGTACAATATTGTGTAGCAAAAAAGCTCGATTTGAATGTTTCAAAATGTTTCGCAATGACATTTTCTCGCAAAAACACCCTCATAAATTATCAATACATTATCAATAACAAGTTCCTTACTAAAGTTACATCTGTGAAAATTTTAGGAGTAACCGTGGTTCTAAGGTTATGTTTGATAAGCATATCGGTTGTGCAGTGAGAAAGGCCTCCAAATCTCTCGATTTTATCGTATAATCAACTAATAAATTTAAATCTATTAAACTCATTAAAGCTCATTCCCCTCTCGCATCTATACAAAAACGTTTCAAAATATTTACAGTTTAAATGTAAGTGAGATCATGGATACGAGACGAGGTGTAAAAGATATCACTTTTTAGCGGTAGAAAGAAGACGACAAATATCAGTCATTATGTGTCTATTAAAAGTTATTAGGGGTATTATATACTGCCCCTTCTTATTAGAACAAGTTAACATTTGGGTATCATTGATATTGCCTATAACTTACCCAGCCTTAAGCAAAATACAGAAGTAACACTAATTATCGTCGCAACTCTTTCTTTACTCGCATAACTAACTTTTTTAGCAATGCCTTTGTAGGTAACAGCAACTTAGAATTATTTTAGTCTGAACCTTGAAATATAAACAAGCAGTTTGCTGCCCTCCTTCTATGCGTGCCACAAATATTTAGTTCTTTTACTCCCCTTTTTTGTATTCTTTAATTGATCGATTTTGTTTTAATAAAGCCTGTGTACATACAAATATAAATTTTAACCTATATACATTTTAATTTTTGTATGCGAATTTTTTTTCATTTATTTCTAATAAAAGAGAGTTCCAAATAAAGTAAATGAATAAATAGTATAAATAAATAAAAAGTTGATTTATGTCAACTAGTGATACATGAGCCGTAGTTTAGTTTAGTTCATGGTTTTAACGTTTTCCATAAATTTTATTAATTCGAATACAATTGTGCGGCACTCAACATGTTATAGAGATTAAAGTTACAGCCTATATACGTCCCACTGCTGGGCACAGGCCTCCCCTCATTTCTGAGAGGTTTTTAGGGCATTTGTTATAGAGATTAAAATTATTTAAAGTGAACGTCCGTTAGTCTGCCAACCTCACTCTCTTCTGGTTCATAATCCCGAGAGGATTGAGAGGAGGAGCGAGAGGTCGGCGATCGGAACTGACGCAAGCGTGTGCGCAGCGTGGCGCGGCGCGGGCGCGGAGCAGGCGCTGCGCGTGGCGGGCGCGGCCGCGCGCGAGGCGGCGCTGGCGCTGCGTGCGGCCGCGGTCTACTCGCTGCGCGTGCGCGCGCGCGCCCCGCGCGGGCCCGGCCCCGCCTCGCCGCCGCTGCACTGCGCCACCACAGACGACGGTAACCACGCAACTGCAAACAAACAATATATTTATTTTGCCGAATAATGACAACGTTATGATCTATTCTAATTTTAAACGTTATTAACAATAAATATTAAATAAAATATTGGACGTTGCCGAACGTCACGAAAAGAGGTGGCACTCAGCAGTTGTCCTTTAGCTGGGTAATAGACAGATGGACTGCAGTTATATACTGGGTAGTTTACTGCAGTAAGCACGACTTTTCTGGTATCCCCAGATAAGAAAACCTATGGGATCGAATCTGCACTTTTAGGATATCATGAAATATCCCCTCTGCCACTATGACTTTTTTGACAAACATCTCTTTAATTATAACCAATGTATGGCAATAAATATGACATGTGGCGTCATCTTGTTGGAATCTCATGGTACGGTTATAGACTTGCAGTTCTTACAATTTTTTCACCAACATGTTTACCGATAATAGATTTTGCCGAATGGTGGCGGCGTAAGGGAATCATTGATCCTGTTTCACCCCATAAAAGTCGTCACAGGCGACTATTGAATATGCCGAGAAGATCTCGTAGCTTCCGATAGATAGTTACTTAAACACGTTGTTTAAACCATACCTAATATACTCATATCAGACTTGGTAAACAGCTTCAGGCATCTGGATCCTCAATCTGCCTGCCAAATGTGGCTATTACGCTAATAAACCCGACCTGTTAAGGTGTTAGAGTTTACCGGTTCAATACGGCCGGCCCATACAGGCCAATAAGTGTACTTCTCGAGTAGATGAATAAAAAAGACTATTGACTGTATATAACCATAAGTTTTCCTACTGAGTGTGGATCCCTTTGACGCGATGTGTGCAGTTCCGGGCGCGGTGGAGACGCTGCGTGCGGTTGCGACATCGCACGACACAGTACGCGTGGCTTGGCTGCCGCCCGCCGAGCACACTGCTCATCTCACGCACTACACGTTGCACATCCGCGAGCTCGCCAGGTACACATTGCGTCTCACACACTATGCGCTGCACATCCGCCAACTTGTCAGATACACACCTCCGCACCACGCGCCTTACTCACTGTACAAGTATTTTTTTTATTTGGAAGGGTGCACGTAATTTTCGTATAGTAATATTAGTAATTAGCTCTAAGGAATACTAGATGAACGTTACGAAAAATAAGATTAAAATAAAATTGTCAATAAATGAGTAATTCACAATATATCAATTCTATAAAGCGTTGCTATCCCGTTAAACCTAACGTTATTAACATACACTCGTGGCTAACAGATGCTCTGCTTGTTTCTCTATCTCTTCTCTATTAATTTTACCTTACAATAAAGCATTATGGAATGTCTATAATTGCTAAATAAGTAGTTCCTATAATTCAATGAAAACGTTTCATTGAATTATAGGAACTACTCATTTGTACTATTCATTTGTACCATTGTATTTATTATATTTGAAGAGCGGGCGGCGAGTGGTCGCAGCGTGTAGAGGTGGGGGAGGCGGGTGCGGCGGTGCGGCGGGTGCGGCGGGTGCGGCGGGTGCGGCGGGTGAGGAGGAAGAGGACGGTGCGGAGGTGAGCGTGGAGGTGTCGGGGCTTCGCGCGCGCGCCGCGTACGAGTTCCGCGTGCGCGCGCACGCCGCGTCCGGCGCCGGCCCGCGCTCGCGAGCCGCCGCAGCCGCCACCGCGCAGCCCGACGCACCCGGTACCGTGATACCTTGACGTATAACGCTCCAAATATTTTATATGTACTTATCTATGTATTAATATTTCCTTTTTCGATAACATGTCGAGTGTATGTAATGTAATGTATATGTAAGAGCGTTTATTTTATGAACTCTTTTGCAAAAAAAAAAACGGGTACCTAAGCAAAGAAACGATTTTATTGTTACTACTAGATTGTTTGATAATTTAAGGTAGTTTTGTAGAAAGAAGTAAGAAATGTGCTAATTTTTTCATACCCTTTCTCATTTCTTTGGGGTTTTCCTTGAGGTTCACATATTACGATATCGATTACTCAAAGTATCACTATCCCCATACATAGCTTTCTTCCATAAACATATCTTTTCTTAATGGAAATGGTCTCTTGATGGTGCTACCAGGTTCATTGTATTTCCGAACGAATTACATTTAGCGAATAAAACTAAATTTTCGGATTATATCGCGTTTATTTAACTGATTTTACTTATTTTTTTACCGAAGATACACAAACCAACCGCTCCATTACGTCCTATAGTGAGCCAGATCGATTCACCAACTTATAAGCTGGCACAGCACTTGGCAAAAATACTGTCACCACTGAGAGGACATACCAATGGATTCATACCATTTTGTTAGTGAGATAAAAAGACCTACATCTCGCTGACAATGAAACTATGGTCAGTTTTGATGTTCAGTCACTATTCACACGCCTACCTATTGAAGACTACATATCAATTGTAACTAGGAAGCTAGAAGATAGCAACATGCCTGCTGAATATGCAGTATTACTCAAACATTGCCTCACATCTGGCTATCTATTGTGGAAGGAAGAGTTCTACAAGCAAGTAGATGGTGTGGCGATGGGCTCACCTGTATCTCCCATAGTCGCCGACATATTTATGGAGAACTTCGAGGAGAAAGCCCTTCTTCCTGCTCCTGTAAATCCAAGATTCTACAAGCGGTACGTAGACAACACCTTCACAATTTTACCATCTGACAAAGTAACTGCATTTTTAAACCACCTTAACTCTATAAACTCTAAAATACAATTTACAATGGAGTTAGAGGCAAATAATTCTTTAGCTTTTCTAGATGTTTTAGTCATTCGAAATCCTGATAACACTATTGGTCACACTGTGTATAGAAAAAAGACCCATACCAACCGATATTTTTTTGGTGAATCTCACCATTATCCTTCACAGTTAGCTACCGTGGGTAAATCTTTGTTTCAGAGAGCACGAGGGATCTGTGACAGAAAACATCTGGCCGCCGAGCTGCAGCATGTCAAGCAAGTGTTGCAAGACAACAAGCTTCGGATCCCGCGCCTACGTCACAGTGACCGAGTGAAGCCAGCCACAGTCGAGCGTGTGCCTGCTGTACTACCATATGTCAGAGGAGTCACAGACAAGGTTGGCTACATCTTGAAGCGAGCTTCCATTAAAACATACTACAAGCCGCCGAAGAAGATTAGTCAATTTTTACCATCCGTCAAGTGTAATATACCTCTACAAGATGCAGGAGTGTACAAGTTAGATTGTGAATGTGGTCTCTTCTCTTACATAGGTCAAACAAAAAGGTCCATAAAAACCCGCGTGAAAGAACATATAGCTGACGTGAAGCACCGACGCTCCGGGAAGTCTGCAGTCTGTGAACATATTCAAGATCGTCCCCACCATTACATCAGATTTGATAAACCACAAATCCTCGCAAAAGAACACCGATTCCTACCAAGGATGATACGCGAGGCTATTGAAATTAAAAAAACATCCTAATTTCAATAGGGAAGATGGTTGGGTGCTGCCATCTGCTTGGGATCCTATAATTAACAAAATTAAACTCAAATCCAAGCATACCACTGCAAGACTTCATGATACTATAAGCTCGTTTTGCGTAAATCGGACCAAAAATTAATATTCAAAAACTGAAGGTAGCCGGGCTAACAATGACATTGGGACGTCAAACATCTCCGTTCCCCCCCCCCCCGTGACCATGGTTGCTGTAAAGCACCCGAAACGTCGGGAATTAAAAATAAGTAAAATCAGTTTTATTTAACGCGATATAATCCGAAAATGTAGTTTTATTCAATTTGTAGTGTTTGCGTAAATTTTAGAAATCATTATGACTTACATTTAGTCCTAGAGCCACGAAACATTGATTGCAACCCTTATTAAGCAGCGAAATAATTTTGCTGGCTTTTATCACTTTATCTTCCACTCGCCCTCGGATGTCGTATGATATTGACGTGTTTTCTGTATTGTTTAAATTCATATTTTATTAAAAGTGTGTGAAATATTATTTACACAAGAAAAATAGAAGTGCATAAACTTGAAGAGGTCACTTGTTAAACAAGATTACTTTGGTACGTAAGAAGGTGAATAATGCAATATTTATAAGCGCAAGGGCAAAGGAGATAGATAGAAACGTATTGTTGCCGCGCCACAACAAAACCGATGAAGAAATACGTCAACTTTGGCTCCGCCCATTACTAGGTGAGAGAAACAACATTATTTATTATTAATGCAAAAAAGTGCACGAGTAAGCGGTGACATTCGAATCGCTTAGTGTATAATACTAGGAGCGCTGAAGATTAAGGAAGCGAAACGCTGTGTGTGAGAGAGTAAGCTGACGACAGTATAAGAAGTGTGGAGATATTTTACTGTGTTTAGACGTTTAAAGTTAATTGATAGCCAATACTATCGTGCGACTGACTGACTGTCATTACACGTATATTTGTTAGGACTATCCATTGGATATATATAAATACACCTATACAGTAACACTGCAGTGCCGTCCGCTATTCATTTAGGCCTATAACTTTACTTTCTGTATAATGTCACTTCAAAGGACTCCTCCTAGTATGCTACCATGCATCGCAACAGAAAATTCTCCTACGCGTTATCTATCTGACTCTGCGCTTAACACGACTAGCATTGAAAAAGATGAAGGGCAGCTCTCAAATGTTCAGCTTCAAACTATAATCGACGAATTAAAAGAAAATTTGATGATAATTTATCGGATAACTCTGTGATGCAAGAGATGAAACAAATGATTGCCGACATGCAGGTGCAACAAGACTACAAATTTCAGACATTTAGTGATACACTGAAAAAAATCGGAGAACAGAACTACGCAATTCAGCAATCTATTGAATTTCTATCGGCTAAATATGATAATGTTCTAAAAAAAATGGAAAGTCTACATAAGGAGAATGAAGGATGTAAGTCTCGAATAACACTTCTCGAAAACAAGATAGAACTTATGGAACGCTCTGCTCTTGCCTCCACCATCGAAATTAGAAATGTACCTAAGATGCGATTCGAAAATAAACAGGCTCTTTGTGAATTATTGAAACATGTTGGCTTAGCCCTTAATCAGCCAATCGAGGACAATGATATCTGTGACATTTACCGTATAAAATCCAAGTTTAAAGAGGATACCCCCATAATCGCAAGGTTGAATACCACCTCCATTAAGGAGTCAATAATTCGCTCAGTAAAATCATTTAATAAACAAAACCGGGATATGAAACTTTCTTCTAAACACCTACAAATCGACGGACCACCACGGCCAATATTTGTCTGCGAAGCTTTGACTGCCAAAGCCAGGCGGTTATTTCACCTTGCTAAAGAATTTGCTAAGACTAATAATTATAACAGATGCTGGATCTCATACGGAAAAATTTTTCTAAGGAAGATAGATGGCTTGCCGTCCATAAAAATCGATTCGGAAGAAGACTTAAACAGACTGAAGTGACTAGGCTCAGTGAACAAAATAAATATCGCTCCATTTTCTGATTGGTTTATTATATACGAGTATAAGATGGTACACTTTTGCATGCTTTTTCTGTATTTTACTTTTATTAACATAATTATATATTATATTTCATATTGCAACACACATTCATACTTTTTACGCATAAAACATAAACTTCTGCCTATTATATTTACAGACAATAAAAAATTTAATTATATTTACAAAACCAAACGTATGCTTACATTTTATTACGATGGAGTGAATAAAAAAACAGTACTTTGTGTTATTAAAATATACAACACCTTCTTTCAAATTATATTTGAATTCCCATACTTAATATTAGTTTTTTGCGATAATAAATTGAAGGCAATAATTGGTATTCGTTATAAATCCATGTGTTATTGTCGTGCTTTACAGACTTTGACTATAATTATAAGACCAATAAAAAAAATATTTCCATAAAACAATACGAATAATTATCATAATATCCCAATCGTTTGAAATGCTTCTCATTACTCTAAATGTATTATTACCTATTGTGGTTATAAATAAATTTCCCTATGTTAAGCAGTATATTGCATTCGTAAGTCTTGGATTGTTTTTGGTGGAATATAAACTGCTAATGTATATCTTAGAGCGTCCATTGGTTACTATACCCGCAAATTATATAAGGCATGCACTCTCATCTTACCTACTCCTTAATAAAATAAAAAAAATTAGGAATTTCAACAAAATAATAGTGCATCTAACCTTGTTTAGTATTTTTAGACTTTTTGTGTTTAAAATTCGTTTTTACTTTCTTATAATAATATACTTTGGTTTATTTTTTACACAATATTCATTACTTATGTATAATATATCGGCATCAATTGATTGGAATAAGCAGCTATCTCTTTATAAAATTCAATAATTTAAATGAAATTACACAGAATGTTGACAATGTTACTGTATCGGATACGGCGAGATGCGATACACAAAACTTCTATTTATTAAATATTGACGAAAGTACATGCCTCACAATAATACAACAAAACATTCGTAGTATCTCACGTAATATAGATGACTTCCTAGTTCTTTTAACGCAAATTAGAATACAATGTGATATTATTATTTTAACCGAGTGTTGGCTATTGTGTAATTCCATAATACCACAAATACCTGGCTACACATATTACAAGTCTATAAAGACCTATAACCAAAATGATGGTATCGTAATTTATTACAAAAATGATATTGGGGTTTTAATTACGGAACCCATGTTTTCTGAAGGTAACTGTGTGGTAATAAAACACAAAAGTATTGCTATAGTTGCAATTTATCGTTCGCCTAGCTTTCAAAATGTAGACTTGTTTTTACAATCTTTAAATGTAATTCTTACGTCGTTGTCTTCCCATAAAAACCTGTCTGTGATGGGCGATATAAATATAGATATAGCAAACTATACAACGGATAACAGATCAACTGAGTATCTTAATCTAAATGCATTTCACGGACTTCTTCCTGCTCATAATATGCCTACTAGGCTCAATGCTTGTTTAGATCACGTTATGATGCGGTCAACTATGGCAGCCACTACAGTAGTGTGTAATTCGACGGTAACTGACCATCAAGCTGTGATATTATGTTTAAACACCAAGCAAAAAAATAATTTAACATCTAGAACTCGAACAAAAATTGATTATGACAAAATTAGACTAGAATTAGAACAAAATAACTTTGATTTTGTATTCAAATGTTCTAACGCAAATGAGGCTGCTACACTTTTTGTATCATATTTCCAACAATTATTAATAGCGAATACAATTAAAGCTACAATTTCGAACCGCTTAAGACCTATTAAACCCTGGATTACAGTAGGAATTTTAAAATGTATACGAAATCGTGATAATTTATTTAAAAAATATAAATCTTTTCCTGACAATAATATCATCAAAATAACATATACTAGATATCGAAATTATTGTAACTCCATGATTAAAAAAGTTAAAATGGCTTATTATAGAGATAAAATTAGTAAAGCAGGTAAAGATAATAAAAAGCTTTGGGAAACCATTAAAGAGATATCAAATACCACGAAAATGAAAACTGATTCCACCGAACTGCTTAACAGTGCGAAGAAACCTCAAGAGGCTATCAATTCAATTAATAATTATTTTGTAAATGTAGGTAAACAACTTGCTGATAATATTGCAGTTAAGGAAAGGGTTACAAGTTCTTTAGCAATTAGATCAATACAGAACTGTACGTCGTCCTTTGTAATACTCGAAACTGACGAAGAAGAAGTTTCCAGACTCATCATGAGCCTAAAAAACAAATGTGCTAATGGATGGGACAATATCTCTAACTGTTTTATAAAAAAAACTAAAGAATATATTGTTGGGCCATTGACATATATATGTAATCTTTGTTTTAATGAAGGTGTATTTCCTCAAGTTTTTAAACGGTCTATTATTCATCCAATTTATAAATCTGGAGACAGAGAAAATGTCGGCAACTATCGACCGATCTCAATTCTTCCATGTTTTTCGAAAATAATTGAACGAATTATAAACAAACAACTCACGAACTACTTAGAAAGTAAAAAACTTCTATCCCCTAACCAGTTTGGTTTTCGGCAGGGCAGATCCACTGATGAAGCAGTGCACGACTTAACAGATTACGTAGTTAAAAATTTGGACAAAAATAATAAAGTTATTGGAATTTTTTTGGATCTCGCCAAGGCGTTTGACGCTGTGTCTACCTGCATTCTAATAGATAAGTTAGAATTATGTGGTATTAGAGGAAAGCAACTTGCTCTATTTAAAGATTATCTATGTGATGGAACACAATGTACTAAAATCGGAGATTACATTAGTCACGAGGCATTAATTACCTACGGTGTGCCCCAAGGCAGCATTCTAGGTCCCACATTATTTCTCGTCTATATAAACGATCTCACTTCTATTCAGCTTCCTTATGGACATATAATATCATATGCTGATGACACATGTCTTCTTTTTTCTACAAATTCCTGGGAAGCTGTTCAGGATGCTGCCCAGATGGGGCTTGATTTGATGAATGAATGGTTGCAAAGTAATTCTCTTACTTTGAATTCTGAAAAAACCAAATATATTGCTTTCACAATACGTAAAGAACGCCTTGAACATATTATCAATAAACCACTGATCTCACACAAATGTCTCTCAAATATTAATATAAAATCATGTAAATGTAACAAAATAGAATTAGTCCATAACATTAAGTATCTTGGTATAATAATAGATTCCAACCTTTCTTTTAAAAATCATATCGAAGTACTATCCAATAGACTATCTAAATTAATATACATATTCAAAAATGTACGCCATGTGCTAGATAAGACAGCTTTAACACGTATCTACTATGCCCTAGCGCAAAGTCTTCTTACTTATTGCATCACCTCGTGGGGCGGTGCTCCTAAAACAAGTATGAAGCGCGTAGAAATATCACAAAGGGCCATTTTAAAAGTTTGCGGATTCTTCTCTTATAGACATCCAACTGAACTTCTTTATCGACACTGGCAGGTACTAACGGTACGTCAGCTGTTTATTCTCTATACCTTGTTGAAACAACACAGTGGAATTACTTATGATCGACATAAATTTGTAGGAGTTAGACGTAAAAACACAGTTTGTGCAACATTTTCAACAAAGAAGACATATACAAAAAAATTCTTTTGTTACATGGGTGGATTCTTATACAATAAAATAAATGAAAACCTATCTATATATTCTAAAAATAAATATGATTGCAAAAAAAACGTACATGATTGGCTACTGAAATTAGATTATGATCTAACGGAATCGCTCCTATCAAGATAAATATAATATACGCACACACACACACCCAAAATCACAAAAACACACACACACACACACACACACACACACACACACACACATACACGCGCGCGTGCACGCGCATACTATACACTACACTACACGAACATAAATATATAGTACTATACATACATATATGTATTTATACATTTTATATCATAATACACTCTTATATCATAATACACTCTTAATTAGTATTTTATCCTGGATTTTCGCTGTAATTTTAAAAAAATATAAGAATTCCTTTGTTTATCTATCTATCTATTGTTTTCCTAGAATATTTTCATTCAATGTCATAGCATTCGAGGGGTGGGAACCTGGTGACTTGTACTACAGGCTTATATATGCCTACTTCAGGCACCAGCTTCTCACATAATAGAATTCTGTATATGTACGACTAGATCTACATTGTTTTACTTTATGTTATGTGAGAGGATAAATAAAGACATTATTATTATTATTATTATTATTATTATCTTCCATTTTGTACACCCTTATGTGGTAGTTGTGTTCACTTTTAGTATATAAAATGATAACTTAAGATGATACTGATAATAAATGAAAAGTAAAATGATAACAACCGATTCTCTGGAGTGTTAAGTTCACACTAATTTTATAAAAGTAAAGCATTAACAATTTTGCCGCGTTTACAAAGGCAATGCGTTACAACGCTTACATATTTTTATTGAATGATAGTAAAAATGTTCAAGTAGCGCGTACACCTTGAACTGCAATAACCATTATTAGTAAAAATGAACTCTACGTTGTGTCGATGGATAACTACTGTTTGGGTGCAGTGGGCGCGCGCATCTGGTCTGTGGGGCGCGCTGTGCGCGTGGCGCTGGGCGCGCGGCTGCGGCTGCGCTGCGCGGCGGCCGGTGCGCCGCCCCCCGCGCGCCGCTGGGCGCCGCTGCCGCCGCCCCACGAGCACGCGCTCAGTGACACCGGCGACCTGCTGCTGCACAGTAACTGCTCGCTTTGTGACTCATTTTATCTTCCCACCGCACCCCACTACACTATCTAAAATGTTCAAAATGCTAACATTACAAAAATGCTATTTTCATACAATATTAACTAACCAAGTAACTGTTTACCTAATGGTATCTGGCTACTGTAAATTTTCGAGGCGCTCTGAGTCGAGTCAATCCTACTTTTCTATTCACTGTTGCGGCTAGTCCTTTTCTAGGCTTTTGAAGTCGTTTAAAAAAATGTAGGGTTGAATTTGAAGAGATTCACTCTTCCTTTTTTTTTGAACTCTTCTACAAATTTCAAAAAGGATACATTCGTATCTAAATAACATAAGAAACATATCTAGAAAAAGATGACATATTTTACTTTTGGATCAGTTGCATTAAATTGGCCGATTAACGAACATAGTATATGTATGCGAAGAGGTGGAAGCAGACGGCAACTACACGTGCACGGTTCGCAATTCGGTGGGCTCTGACCGCGTGCAGTACTCTGTGCGCGTGCTCCGCGCGCCCGCAGCGCCTGTGCCGCGGCTGCTGCGTGCCACGTCGCACTCGCTGCACCTTGCCTGGGACCCGCCGCCGGATAACGGCTCGCCAGTATTAGGTACGCACCCATATTAAAAAATATTTATTTTCTTGATAGTTTATTAAATTTTTTGAAATCCTATGATCCAGTCCAGTCGCAAGTGACCGCACCCACCAGACTACTTTTCTATGAAGAAGTTTGGCATTATAAAATTTTTACAAAATTCTCTATCCTGTCTAAACAAAAGTCAGGTTTTACTTTATTACTAAAAGATTTTATTGTATTTCGATAACAAAAAATAAATACCAAGCGGATGTCGACAGAATGAAAATCACAATTATTTCTATATATATTACTCGAATTTATTTACGATCAAAGATAAATTATATCCACACAAAAACAATCTTTACAATTTGATAATAGAACACTATACTAAAACACTAATAAACCACTAAAAATGGCGTATGAAATGAACGTAGATTATTGTTACGCGCTCAAGTCGACGATACACTAGCGCCATCTAGTGTCAGGAACGAGAGCGAGGGGAGCATTGAGAAAATGACATCACAAATCACTCAACCGACAGCGCCTAGTCGAAACTCGAACGCTCGGTACCTTGCGTGTGTTTACTTGAACATTCTGGATATTTCTTTGCTAATTTAAATATATAGGCGCTGCAAGATGCGATCGGGAGCAGAGTTGAACTCGGCGACACAAGCGAAGCTTCGGAGCGGAATTAAGTGAATTAGTGTGTTTAATTTATTTAAATTAAAGTGTTAATTTAGGTAATTTTATCGGCAATTTTTATTGTTACGAACCTCAAGCTCGTAACATTATAAATAAATATCCATAGATTAACTGACTTTTTATTCCACTAGAGGATAGAAAATTTCATATTGATTCAATAATACTAAACTTCTTCTTATAAAAGTGGTCTGTAAATATAAGTAGTTGTGGGTTAAAGTGCTGTGCGGAATATCAAAGCGGTCATATTTAGATTTTTGCTGTTTTAGAGTTTAGTATTTGACAGAATATTTTGTTAACCTATGTGCCAACCAACCAACAAATTTGGCAAATTCCCTCTTATAGAACAAACTAGAGGCTTATGTGCAGAAATGGATTTTATAGGATGTAACAGATCAAGAGATTAGCGTTAGAATTACCTACTTTTTTAAATATAAATATACTCATAGACCAGTACAGAGTATTGCAAAAAATTTTTATAAAATAAACTAACCTAGATATTTGTGACGATAAAGTTTATAAATTTTTAATTTGCTTATTATTCGTTAATTTTTATTTGCAAACGTTGCAAAAAATATAGCGGTCAAATGCTAAAAATAAATCAAATTTGGAAAAAATACAGGAAAGAAACTGTATGGGCTATAGTTTGCGACTCGAATAGATTCTTTGATAGTTAAGTTATTTAAAGTTAGTATAAGACGATATTACGATACGTACGTACGTTATGTAATTCGTGGTGCGACGGGTCAAACCGCGTCAGCGTAAAATAAATGTATGATATTTGGAACGTACATACTGGGATGCCAAAGAAAGGAAAGCTTTAAAAAGTTGAAAATGAAGAAATGTAAAAGTTATATAAAATAAAAATAAGATGTAGAAAAATTTTAAAATTATACAAAATCAGTTTTCATCTTTTCGGACATTTGCTGGCCCGATTGTCTGACGTGCTCATAAATGTCACTCATTTTGTTCCGCAAGTCATTTGCATAATCGGTTATACTGCGTGGGGCATCAGGTGGTATCCCGGTGATCAGGTCCGCAGGCAGCCGTAATGCTCTTTCAGAGTTTGCGAAAGCTGGTGTCACATCCGTACTTTCGTAAACAGCGCTTCGATATGACAACAATAACGGTTGTATGTGCTTGTCCCAATACTCGTTGCCGATTGTCTACAACTTTTGCTAGATACCTCTCCAATATCTAATTAAATCGTTCGACCATTCCATCAGATTGCGGGTGATAAGAAGTCGTTCTTGTTTTATGAGATGATTTTACCCATAACTCGGCAAGTTTCCTGGAATATTTGAGACTCAAATTTCTTTCCTTGATCGCTGTGAATTTCTAAAGGTACTCCAAAACGTCAGAAGACTTCATGAACTAGTTTATCTGCAACTGTTGAAGCTTTTTGATTTGAAATGGCGAAGACTTCTGGCCACTTAGTGAAGTAATCCATTACAACCATGAAATACTTGTTACCCCTTTCACTCTTCAGAAACGGCCCCGCCAAGTCAATGGCTATTCTTTCCCATGGTGCACCAACATTGTACAACTTCAATGCACCTCTACTACGAGTCTAAGGTCAACCGTTCCCGCACAACTTGTACATTTGCGACACCAGTCCTCGACATCGTTTCGATAGTTGACCCAGTAAAATCGTTCTCGGATCTTCAGTAGAGTTCGTTTAACTCCCAGATGAACTCCTGATCAACCATTATGGTACAGCTGTAGAACATCCAGCACTTTAGATTTAGGGACAATCATTTGCAGACGACAGCTGTCTCCTCTAATATTAACTCCATCCTGAATCAGCAAGCTGTCCCATTGGGCCCAATAGATTTTGGTGGTCGAACTCATCGCTGAGACGTCGCTCCACTTGGGCTTGTGAGCACTGGCCTTCATTCATTTCAAAATCGGCTTGATGTCCGGATCTTCCTGCCGTGCATGTTGTAAGCTATCCTTCCACTCTTTGCTGAGGTGAGGCACTCTTACCTAGTACAATGTTTGCAATCTTCAGGACAAGGTCTCCTTGACATTGCATCTGTGTTGCCATGCGCTTTCCTGCTGCGGTGTTTAATCACAAAGTCGTATTTCTGCTGCTGGGTAGTGCTGTTAGCCACACAACCCTCTCGAGATAGATCACCTTCCCTTTTTACCGATCGCTTATGGCAGCTGGATCGAAGATGGCCCCTTTCCCCACAGCTGTAGCACCTTAGGCTGTAATTTTTACTGCTGCAAACTCCCTAACGTGAGGGGAACGATGATCCTGCCGCGCCAGGTGGTGTCGTTAGCTGCACTACCCTCTCGAGATCGATCAACTTCCATTTCTACAGTTCGCTTAGGGCAGCTGGATCGAAGATGGCCCCTTTCCCTACAGCCATAGCACCTAAGGCTGTATCCTTTATTGATGTCGCGAACTGTAGCTGCTGCAACCCCCCTGACGTGATTGGAACGATGATCCTGCCGCACGGCTTCCACCTCCAGTGCATGGGCCAAGGCGTCCTTAAGCGTCTCGTGGTGTCCGAGCCTCACAGCAGCTCTGACTTCAATGTCGCGGATGCCGTCGATGAATGACTGCACCAGGTTCCCTTCAATGAGCTTGCAATGGTCTTCGTAAATACGACCATGTATCTTCCTTTCGTAAACAGTTAAACTGGCTGCCTATCCGTCAGCGCAGATATGTTAGAATACTCTACACCCTTTTCTCAATTTTGAACGATCCATGAGTATCTGAAGTCTAAATTTCAATACCTGGGAGATTCTCATAATTTTTCTCTCCGTTCCTCGGCCAATCTTAAGTTTCTCACTCCTTTACACCGTACTGGTTATTTATCTCACTCTTTCGCCCTCATGGCCATCAGACTCTGCAACGACATTCCTCTTGACATTAAAAAAGCTCTCAACAAATTCGTCTTTAAAAATCAAGTCCGTAAGTATATGATTAAATCGCTGCAAGTTTGAATTAACCCAGCTCTCTTTTTCGTATATATTTCATATTTGTTCTAACGCATTGTGTATGTATATATAGATATATACTTATGTATTTATGTGTATATATGTATGTATATATATTCTATTATATATATATATATATATATATATATATATATATATATATATATATATATATATATATTATTTCTTTTATCCTCTCTATTTGATTATTGCTGCATCGCCTCCATAATGTCTATCTCTGTTTAGCCTATTGGTTGACTGGGAGAGAACGCCCTATGGCATTAAGTCCGCCATATGTACTTTTTTGTGCATGAAAGCATAAATAAATAAATAAATAAATGAGCGCAGGTAATAAAAAAAAATAAAGGATCGCAGCGCAGGCAATGCAAGCAGACCCGTATGCTTTTTGCACCAGCTTCTCCACCTCTAAAGCCCACTGCTGCAGGTATTTGTTGATGCGCTGCACGCGATCTTTAAGCTGCGCACGAAAGACGTGTTCCAGGTGAGCATCGCCATATCTCGCCTCCAATGCTTTAAAGAGCTGCTCATAAGTCACTTCCTTACCGAGAGCTTCCAGAACTGTTAAGGACTGGTCGCGCAGGCCTAGTGTGAGAGCAGTCATGGCCTGACTTTTATTCCAGCTGTTCGCCTTCATAACAGCTTCGAACTGCATTTTGTAGGCCGATCAGGAAGAAGTCCCGTCGAACGGTGGCACCTTAAACCCACGTAGCGAAGGTGTTGTAGCTACTACGGGAGCTGTAATTCCATCCCCCAGTTTGAGGTCGTTCAGCGTTTTCTTCACGTCAGCCATCACGTTGTCAACCCGATTGCTCACTTTGTCGATTCGGGTTTCAGCTTCCTCAATTCGAGTTTCAGCTTTCGCCATTTGGGTTTCAGCTTCCGACAGGCAGTTGTCATGCTGAGCAACCCTATCCTTCACCTACTTTATCTCCTTCCCGAAGGTAGCGTGAAGGTCCTTCGTGAGAAGCATCTGCTCTTCGAACCGCCGGGCCTGTTCCTCTTTTCCGCCCCGCAGCTGCTCTTCTAACTGACGGACCTATTCCTCCTGTTGGCGAGCCTGTTCCTCCTGTCAGCGAGCCTGTTCCTCCTGTCGGCGAGCCTGTTCCTCCTGTCAGCGAACCTGTTCCTCCTGTCGGCGAGCCTGTTCCTCTTGCTGCTCTTTCAACCAACGGGCCTGTTCCTCCTGTCCGCCCAGCAGCTGCTCTTCCAATCGTCGTGCCTGTTCCGCCTGTTGGCGGGCCTGTTCCTGCAACATCATCACGAGAGCACCTAAGTAAGTTGCTGCAGGTGTAGGAGCTGCTGACGGGCTAGCCTCCGTGGTTGGCAGTTGATCCCCCGATGTCTACGGCGTTGCACCATCAAATCTTCTGTGGTCCGTCTCTTGCTGGCTTTGACTTCTGGTACGGACACCCTCCTTTTCCTCCTTAGGTAAAACCGGCATGATTTCATCCCACTTCTGACACCAATTGTTACGAGCATAGGGTTCGTGACAGTAAAAACTGCCGATTGAATTACCAAAATTTACACTTTTATGACCTTACACCAATTAAAACCCAAAACACTAATAATTAACCACACTGATTCACTTTATTTCGCTCCGAAGCTTCGCTTGTCTCGCCAAATTCAATACTGCCCCGATCGCGGCATGCAGCGGGTTTAAATACACTTTTACGCCGAAACATCCAAAATATTCCCGTAGATACGGTTGCTGACCGTCCAGACGAAGTAAGTTCGAGTGTGAGGCTTCTAGAAAGTTAGTTAGTTTTCAATTCTTCTCAGTTCTTCAATTCGATACTAAATGGCGCTGTTGGTTAAAAGATTAGTCACGTCTTTTACTAGAAAGCTCTCCTCGCTCTGTTACCCGACACTAGATGGCGCTAGTGCCAGACGTCAACTTAGGTGCGCAAAACTATTATATAATTAAACTTACATTCGGTGATTTCGAGATGTCTTGTACCTGCTACTTTCTTAACTTCTTTACTCTTCTCTTGAAGGAATTTTGATTGAGAAGTTTTTTGTTCTTGGAATCTTCTTTCTTGGAACTTGTCAATCTTGATTTTGCTGTTAAAACAATGTTACTGGAGTTTCTTGTATAATTTGTTTTTCAGGTATTTTCTACATTTTTTCTTTAAGTATATAATCAACTTTGATTTCTCAAAAAAAATTGTGGTCTCTTCTTATATTCGTAATTAAAAATTTATTTGTCGCGTCCGGTTTTGTGTTCATTTTATTATTACTTATATTATTTTCGTATATTTATTTTGATTTATTTATTCTCTTCAAAAAATTACTTTATTTCCTATGCAGGTCCCGGCGGTGCGCTTGCATTGTAGCAGTGCACCGCCTGGCAGGGTCGCCATGTAATGTTGGGAGGTTCGGGGAATAAATGAAACGTCTAGTGGTCTTGACTGTAGATTTATTACTAACTCTCTCTCCTTGTCAATCCTACATATATATAAGCGCACACTACAACCTTCATAATATTAATTATTTTTGTTGACGCAATTAACTTAATTTTATATTTATTTATTTTTTTATAATTTTTTACTTATACATAACTTCGACAATTATTAATAATGAGTTGTATTATAGTTGAAAATTACAAATTGTATATTTTATGAATTGAATTCGGTTTTAACGCAATTTGTAACGAACGCAACTTGGTGCGGCGGTAAGCTGCTACTTTAAATCCAGAATGAAGGAGTAAAAAATGGTGGCGCTAATAGTTCCTGGGTTCGAATCCGGAAAACAGATGGTCACTAAATGGTAGGGTGACTAGGTTGCCCTTCATATCCGGAGAGAAGGAATCACAAAATGATTGGGTCACAGGACTCCCGGGTTCGATTCCCGGTGATAATGACCCCGAAAATATGCATGCGAGATTAACGATAAATATTTTGGATTGAACTAAACGGTAGGTGCGAAGTTAGTTAGAACCAAAACAAGATGATGGACGTGGTGCGTGCCCAATTTTGGGCAATGCACTTACTAGGACCTAATTTACTATATCAGCTGGTAGGGGCGGGAGCATGAGCTGCTGTGGAAAAAGAATAACAAATGAAAACAACTCAAAATGGGAAATGCACTTACGTGGATGCTGATCTTCTGGTTGCCTCCTACTCAGGCCTCGAGGTTTATGGTGCTACGTTGCAGCTGCGATGGTGTGCGACGACAAATTAATCGCACTAGTACATTAAGACAAATTTTCCTGCGCTAGCGGTAAATTACCCCTTTCACCTTTTGCGAAGCCCTGTCATTGGACATACCCGTGCAGGAAGGGAGCGAAAGTTATGAGGGAGAAAATACTGCCAAATAATCATCATTATTATTACAGCCCTTCACAAGTCCACAGCTGAACATAGGCCTACCCCAAGTAATGCCACAAAACACGGTCCTGAGACACCTGCATCCATCGACTTCCTGCATGTCTTACCAAGTCATCACTCCATCTAGTGGGGGTCGCCTTACGCACAGAATACATTGGTGCTCGCGTTGGTGCTCCATAAACATTTTTGCACCAAGGAGTCGGTGTCATATTGTTTGTTCAATGACCCGGTCCATACGCAGTACTATAATAAGTCTTATGCCTATGGGGTAATCTTTGGGGGAGTCCTATGTTCAGCAGTGAACCTTAATAGGCTGTAATGGTAACGGTATATTTTAAAAACAGTAATGTTTGGGACGACCGCGGTGCAGGGTACAGCGTGTGGTGGCGGCGCGCGTGGGCGGGCGGCGGGCGCGCACGCAGCGCTCAGAGCGCGAGCGCGGAGCTGGCGCTGCGCGGGCTGGCATGCGGTGCGCGCTACGCCGTCTGGTTGCACGCGCACAACGCGCTCGGCGCCTCCCCGCCTTCGCAGCTGCTCACGCTGCATACAATCGGTGACAGTCAGTACTTTTCTACGGGCTCCACATGTTTAAAACGAATTACAAAAATTACACTTTTTCTTAAAATTCAAGTGTTTAACTTTTTTGAACAACAGAAGTTGAACACAAGTATTAAATTCAAGCTGTAAAATCCCCATTTAGTGTTTGAATTTTAAAAAAAAACCTTTCTTAGTGGGTTATATACCCCGAGAAAGGAGTAAATTACGTGCCAAATTTAAATTCGATCGAGCGTATAGTTTTGGAGATCTCGTAGCATTATTAGTAACGAATCAGTTTATCTCTTTATATTTGTTATGTTACATAGTTATATTTCTTAAGCTAAGTTCGTGATGATCTTTATTGGACATTTTTAAACAAGCACATGTGAGTTGAGACAGTGAAAGTTGTTAGCAATCAATAAATGTTTTATTGAGGTGTAACGTCTTTTCTCTCGCTATTCCGTAATTCGCGGCAGTGATTTCGTGAAAAGAGACGGAAGTGTGTAACAGAAAACCGGCGAAGCGCGCACTATTCCATTTGACCAATAAGCACGCGCGGTGTTAGTAAAGTGTACTGTTAAATAAATTAATTTATATATGTAAATTATACATAAACACTCACGCCTGTCACCCAGAGGGGTAGGCAGAGACTACAGACTTCCATTTAGCACGATCCTGACATACCTTTCTCGCCTCTTCCACATCCATATACCTACACATACATGCTCGTCGGTTAAGGGTACTCTTAATTTGGCCCATTTTTAGTATATCGCCAATTTGGTCGACAAACTTTCGCCTAGGACGTCCCTTTCCGACTCTTCCATTCACTTCTGCAACATATATTTGCTTTGTCAGTCTTTCCGCATTCATTCTTTCTACATGACCAAACCACCGAAGCATTCCTTTCTTAATCCTGGTCACCGCATCATCTTGCAAACCACACTCTTCTTTTATCACACAGTTTCTCACCCTGTCACTCAGATTCAGCCCTAACATACTCCTTAGCGACCGCATTTCTACTGCATTTATTCTACTCTCGTGCTTCTTCTGCCACACCCAACTTTCACTACCATACGTTAAAGTAGGGACTAATACAGCACTGTGAATTGCCATACGTGCCTTTTTTTGACACATTCTGACTTTTCACAATAGAGTGTAGAGCCCCATTTACTTTATTTCCTGCATTCACTCGTCGTTCAATATCGTTATCATATCTCCCATCCCTGCTGAATACACATCCCAAATATACGAACTCATCCACTTGCTCAATTAACTCTCCTTCTATTCTTATTTCACATACCGTCTTGCTTTCATCTCTTTCAAAAACCATCACTTTCGTCTTACTTGCGTTCACTTTCATTCCCACTATCTTTTAATGACCTGTTCATTAATGTAACCATCATTTGCAAATCGGCCGCCGACGACGCAAGTATGACTTGATCATCGGCGTACAAAAGGCATTTGATGGTTAACTCACCCATTCCTAACCCGCATTCTTCAGCTTTCAAATTTTCCAAACAGCTGTCCATAAATAGGTTGAACAGCCACGGGGAAGCTACACAGCCCTGTCTGACACCTTTATGGATGCCAAACCAGTCCGAGTAGATCCCGTTGATTCTAACACAAGCACTCGAGTCCCTATACAGAGACTTTAATGCCTGTATCAAACCAGCGCTCAACCTAAATGCGTTCAGCGTTTGCCATAACACATCCCTGTCCACTCTGTCATAAGCCTTTTTCCAAGTCCATGAACGCACAAAAAACTTTTTGGTTTTTCGCCAAAAACTTCTCCGCGATCATGCGCATGGAAAAGACTTGATCTGTACACCCCATTCCCTTTCTAAATCCCGCTTGCACATCCCAAATTTTTTCATCAGTTTCTTTCATAACTCTTTCAATTAGTACCTTAGCATACAGTTTTCCCACAATGCTAAGAAGGCTGATACCACGGTAGTTTTTACAGTCCTGCTGTGACCCTTTTCCCTTATATATTGGGACTATCACGGCTTTGCACCAGTCTCCCGGTACCCGCTTTAGTTCCCAACATAAATTAAACAAGGTGTACAGCAGGCCTGCCACCACTTCCTCTCCAGCCCTTAGCATTTCGAGTGAAACTCTATCATATCCGGCTGCCTTACCTACTTTCATGCTTTTCATTGCTTTCATTATTTCATCTATACTTATCTCCCTATCTCTTTCATCTTCTTTCGGTATTTCTATTTCATTTAGTTCACACTTCTCCTCACTCATAAATTCGCTTTCAAAATATTCCTTCCATCTCTTTAGACTCAACACTTCATCATTCAGGATACAGCCATTCTCGTCTCGTATCGTATTCAATCTAGGCTGTTTTGAAAGTCCCCTGGTATTTCTTACGAGTTTCCAGAACATTTTAATATTTGCCTGAAAGTTATCCGATATTCTTCTATCATTCCTATCCGTTCTTTCTTGCTTCTTCCTTTCAACTAATTCTTTTACTCTCTTATTTAAACGTTTAAACTCAGCCTTTTTTCTTTCATTCTCATCATTCTTACCGCCAGAATTACCAGTTTTGGTCGCTAGTAAATCTAGCCATGCTCTCTTCTTTGCTTCAACTTCCATACGTACCTCATCATCCCACCATAACGTATTGTCTAACGTATGTAAATTATATTGATAAATATATTTACTGTTGATAATACGTGTCTAAAATTTTTTTAAATCATTTAAAAATAATGCAATTGAGTAATAATGAACAAGTATACCAATAAATAGTTCAGTAACTCTCAACTTTATGAGTTCGAGATCCACACTCTGTCATTAGGCTAATGTCGCTTCTATTGAACTAACTTTACCAATAATTTATATTTTTAGTAATATGTTATTTACCCTGCACCAAGAAGTTATGTGATCTTAATAATATATATCTGCGTATATATATCCACGCATAGTGCATAAGAGAGTGCATATTGTGCGTAGAGACGAAGGCTCCACCGGGCAAGGAGCTGATCTGGGCCAACAGCACTGCGCTGCGTCTCAACCTACTGACGTGGGGCGGACGCTGTCCCGTTGCGCGCTGGACCGTGACCGTCGCCGACACGGACTTGCCTGTTGACGGAGACTCTCTGACGGTGCGGAAATGTTTTTGTTTTAATATTGCAATAAACCATCCAACAGTTAAACTAATATGTTCGAAATACAACCTATGGACTTTAATGCATCAACCAACTGCAAACAAACAATTGTCAGAAAAATTTATACTCGTCATAAATAATACTTAGACCACGATGGAGTGCTTCTATAATTTAATGTGAGCCTTTTTAAGTCATAACTTACGATAGAAATGGAACGTCTTTTGATTTTTAATTAACTTTATCCGTGACCATAGGTGCTGCAAAGTGCTCGGAACGAAAATTAAACGCGATGAAATCCATTTTAAATGTGAAGTGTCCATCTAAATATAATAAAGTAGATATGCATTTAGTTGGCGGTAGAAATAGCTCAAGAGTACGTAAGGTAATATAATAAAGTACAATTTCACTCGTTAAACCAATTTAATGTAAATCATTAATAGAACTTAATAAAATTAGTGCGCTTTAAATAGGTACGAGTACATTTTAAGCTTCTTTACAAAATGCACTTACTTTTAATTTTTTACCAGGTAAATAATTTGGAACCAGGAACGTGGTATGAAATTCGGGTGACGGCATATTCACCTGCAGGTGAAACCGCGGCACTCTACAGAGCGGCTACTCTTACAGCCAATGGAGGTAAGATTGATAATTAGATTAGAGAAAATTCTTATATTAACTCTAAAACAAACCAGGAGATGGGCACCAGCGTCTTCATAATATCGACTAAAAATAAAAAACTGCGGTTGCTATCCAATTTGAAAAACGTGGCAACTATGGCAAATAATGAGGAAATATATGGGTAAGGCCATTATTCAGTTCATTTTCGAATTTAGTCAAATTATTCTGGTTTTGACTCGACTCGACAATCGAACCCGAGACCCTATCGCCGCACCATTTTCTGGCCATCAGCGTGACCATATTATTTATAGTTATAACAGGTTCTATTCCAATAATATTTCGATATTCTTGAAATTGCAAGTAAAATTAGTAGTAGCGATATCTCGATTTTACGAAATGAAATTAAAGAAATGAAATGAACGAATGAATGATTTTTAATTCAATATATTATATTGTTGTACTATAATACTTATTTAAAGTCATTTTTTATTTACCACTGGTTCAAAAAAAATCTCTGTCCTGGGAAGGACCAGCAAGAAACCCAGCGGGACTATTTTTAAACATATTTCGATTTACAATAAATTTATTTTGTTACAATTTTTGAATGAATTTTTATAGAACCAGCGTGGTGGCGATCATTTCATTCCCATAGGTTATTTTCATTTATGGGTTATTTTATATTATGATAGCACTTTTTGTACAATTTTTCCATTTAAAGTTGCTTAATGACAAATTTCGTGCATTTTATGGGATTTTGTTGTAAAAGCGTATATATGTCCCATAAATTAATTACTAATTCTGACGAGTTTAGTAACTGGTTTTACAAGCTTATGTTTGTTCTTAGTAGTTCATTTTCATAAACATATTGCGATGCCAAAGTTAATAATGTTTGTCTCTTTAAATTTTTCTCTAAGAGTTTCTTTACAATTTAAGTTAATAATCGCCCGTACGTTCCTCTTTTGAAAAACAATTATAACATCAATGTCAGTCGCATTACCCCATAGTAAGATTTTATAAGACATTAAGCTACGAAAGTAATTAAAATAAACTAGTCTGTCTCAACATCGGTGAGCCTTCTAATTTTTCTTACATCATATGCTGCAGAACTAAGTCTGCCTGCTAATGTAGATATATGAGGGCCACATTGAAGTTTCGCATTAATAGTAATACCAAAAAAACAATGGTATCTAAGAGCATATTGGTATTTGAATGTTTAACATTATGTAAATTTAATACATTTCGTCTTATTGCCATTCTAGAATAAATTATTAGCGTTCAACCAATGTACTAATTTCGATAGAGAATTACTTAATTTGTCAAAATTAACTGACTGTCGATTGAGTTTGAAAATTAAAGAAGTATCATTAGCAAATAATACTATACCTTGATTTTCCCCTACAAGATAAGGTAAGTCATTAATATAGACTAAGAACAAGAATGGACCCAGAATCGAGCTCTGAGGAACGCCCATTGATACTACTAATCCGGAGGAACTTTTACATTTGATAAAGACTTTTTGAGTTCTGTTATGTAAATATGAAATAATAAGTCTAAGCGCAATATTTTTGACACCGTAATGTCGTAGTTTCTTGATAAAGATATCATGATGAATACACTCGAACACAATGTAATTTAATAAAAATTTAAGTCAATAATCTGAAGGCATAAAGATTTAACTGTGTTTCGTGCCTGTATGAGAATTCATTGCGTTAGCGTCATATTAAATATTTATTACTACTGCTACCATCTTACAAAATTAAATCCAAACCCAAAAATACCACTGCAAGACTTCAAAATAACTTAAGCTCGTTCTACGTAGATCGGACCCAAAATTAATATTCAAAAACTGAAGGTATCCATACTAACTATGACATTAGGACGACAGACATCTCAGTCCCGTCCCCCCATGACCATAAGCGCTGTAAAGCACCCGAAACGTTGGGAATTGAAAACAAACCAATTAAACGCGATAAAATCCATATTAATAGTTAATGATTTCTTATTTTTACGCGAACACTACAAATTGATTGAAATAACTTTCACGGTTTTTATCGAGATTAATTTGTATTATTTTTAGTGCCCGACGTTTGTTCCACTTTTAGTTCCCGCAAGTCCCAGTCCTCGGTCCCCCATGACCATGGTTTCTGGAAGGCTCCTGAAACGTCGCTAATTAAAAATAATTCAAACTAAAGGCGATAAAATCCGTAAAGGTAGTTTTAATCAAGGTATTATTAGTTTTATTCAATGTGTAAAATTAATAAATCATTAAATTTTCTAAGGTAAAACTAAACACATTATAATTTGGGTTTTGGAGTTGGTGGAGGTATTAATGCTTGATTATTTAAGGAATCGTGACGTAGGTTCCTTCAATCAAAATTTATATCTAATAATTCTACACCATCTATACCAGTAATTGAATAAGATCAGCACAGAATACCAGCGTAAAATAGCAGCTTAATGCTGCTGTGTTTTGTATGGGGAGTGTGAAGAACCGGAGACCCATTTTACTGGAATCGAGGCATTCCATCATATTCCTTAAGGGTGACAACGCATCTGCATTTTGATTCTTAAGCGGTTAAAAATGTAGATAACTATGGGCCACAGCATCCACTTACTCGTGGACTGTGTACTTGTTTGTCACCCTTATACTACTAAAAAAGAAACTACGACTAGGACGAAATATCTTATTACTAGTAAAAACGGTCTCCGAGTCTCTACACTCACCATACAAAACACAGCAGCATTGAACTGCTATTTCACGCTAATATTCTATGAGAGCGTCCCGTCCCGGTCGAGTCAACCAATTTGTTCTGAAGCCATAATATAGCTGCAGCATGGCTCTACCACGTACAAATCACGGAGTTGTGGGCAATGTTGATTAGAGCGCATCGGATCACCGACGGAGCTGCCACTAACTGCTAGCGCGGCGGGGGAGGGTACGCGCGGGGCCGTTGGGGGCGGCGGGGTGGGGTGGTGGCGTGGCGCGTGGCGCGGGGCGGCCGCCGCGGCGCTGGCTGCGGCCGCGCTCGCGCTGCTGGGTGCTGGCGCCGCGCTCACCGCCGCAAGGTTCCGCGCGCCGCCTGTCCCAACGGTCACCACCACCAAGAAGCTACCACCACCAGACGGTAAGTTATTTCCGATACTTTCGAACTCTATCAAGGATCTCCTAGGTGTGCGTTGTTTGCAGTGGCTGTAAATGACCGCCGGTACGACATACTCCGCCGAACGTTGAGTCCCGTGATTCCGTGAGGCGTCGAGGTCACCGGCCCCTAGGTGATTCTTGGGCACTTTATGCGCTCCGAGCATCCTAGTCGCGTCATAAAGTGCTACCGTCGCACTTCCCCCAACTCTTTTGTTGACAAAAGGGGTAGGCAGTGCCCAGTGTGATTACGCTAACACATTTTTATACCTTGCTATCCGCGTCGCGCTTCGTGCCGAATCGGTTGGCATTTATTAGACAGGGCCTTATAGATTACCTGACTGACTTAGGTAGGTACTCAACATGTCCGATAAGGACAAGGAGGAGCCCCCACCTAAACCCAAACCCAGAAGACCACCCGACCGTCCTGGTGTACTTGACCGTCCAATCGCGTGTCGCGACATCTTCGATCCTGAAAGGACTAGAGTAGTGTCCTCCTACTCTCAGATCCCGACATGGAAACCCTCCTCACCGGGTAAGGAGCCCGCACCGAGGACCGCGCTCTCGCCCATCGTACCTGGAGGTACGACTGGGCGGGAACCGTTCCTCCAACCCCAGCGGGCTAAGAAGACCCTGAGAAGGCATACGCCTCCAGAAACAGCAGCATCCCTCCAGGAGAAGAGGCGATGCTTCAGTTCTACCAACTCCTCGGATTACTCGTCATCCGAGGGAGAAATAGACCACCAACAAGGGAAGCCAATTAGAAGATCACCACCCAAATCGCCATCGCCGATTAAACCCACCCCACCCAGGACACCGGAGCAACACATCAGTATGGATGCTGCTGATCTGGAACAAGGAGGGGGAAGGGTCATACGGATGGAGTGCCACCACGTATGCGACCCTAGCGCCGAGCACATCTGCCGGACACTCACCATCCGTGCCTACCACCAACCCGTCAGGCCGGCCATCAGATGATGGTCAGAGGCCTTCGACTAGCTATGCCCAACTGGTAGCTGCCCCGGCAGTACCAAGGACTAAGACATCCAAGACACCAAAGCCGCCAGAAGAGTCGGTTAAGAGATATCCACCCATAGTAGCTGAGTGCTTGCCGGACTGGACGAAGCATTTCATCATCAAGAAGTTGGGCCACCCACCGAATGCTCGTCCGTTCGGCAAGGGGGTTAGATTTACCCCCCAGAGTCCGGAAGAATTCCGGACGGTACAAAAATACCTTATAGAAATGACTGAAAAAGTACCAGCTATGCCCTGGTACTGTTACACCCCTGAAGAGGACAAGCCCACGAAGGTGGGCATACGGGGACTACCAGTGGGCACGGATCCATCTGCAATAGAGGGGGCTATCAGGGCCAAGGGGTTCCCGATTAGATACGTCAAAGGGATCCCCCCCCCGTAGAGGCAGACCTGGGTGCCTCTACTTCGCGCAGCTGGACCACCTGAGCCTGGAGCGCCTCAACGAACTATACCAAGTCGACGAGCTCCTCTTCATGAGAGGAGTCGTCATAGAGGCCTGGCAAGGAAGAGCGGGCCCTTCACAGTGCCACCGCTGCCAGGCCTTTGGACATGCATCCACCAACTGCTTCAGGCCAGTGAAGTGTGTTCGCTGCGCTGGAGATCACATCGCCAGTAACTGCCCAAGGGGTAGAGATGAGGAACCGCGATGCGCGAACCGCGCCAAGAACCATACCGCCAATGATCGCCGCTGCCCAGTCCTGAGGAGGATTGCAAGGAAGCAGGGGATTACTCTACCGGGACTACTCCCAGAGGAGCCCAAGAGGATCCCCCAAAGTCGTCCTAGGGCCGTGGTTCAGGAAGACGGGTGGACGACAGTCAGTGGAAGGGGAAGGCAACCTGCCCCCCCCACCACCCGTCACGGCACCCACAGAAACGGTGGTGCCCACCACTACCATAACAAAGGCAACCACCGGGACGACTCTTCAGCCCCCCGCTAACGACGCCACAGAGCGCCAAACCACCCAGTGGAGTAAGCGGGGGAGGAAGAAGAAGAAGAAGGTGCAGCCTTCTCCTCAGGCAGCAACCTCTACCCTAAACCCCAGCGGTAACGATAGCCCCGGCGCAGGTTACCAAGGAGGTCAAGAAAACCAGAATGGGTAGAGTGCCAGAAAGGGCTCTATCAGAAAATAGAGCCCGCTCTACACATAGAACGCGCTCTACCCATACGCAAAGAGCATCAATCCAACTCCCGAGACCAGCGCCAACTCCTGCACAGACACGCAGAACACCAACAGCCGGCTTCGAGACTGCTGATGCCATCCAACGTTTGGTTGGCATTGCAATCGAAGTCGGCAGCCAGGTCCTGGCAGACATCAGAGCCGGGACCGACCCTATCACAGCAGTCATGAAGGCGCTGGCGAACCTCCTGGCTCGGCACTATGGAGGAATCTAACCTGCGCCTCCTCTACTGGAACCCAGGTGGAATCCAGCAGAAGCTGCAAGAACTCCGCACCGTCGCCCAACAACAAGACGTACAGGTCATCTTGCTGGGAGAGACGAAACTTAATCCGAGCACACGCATAAAGCTGCCCAACTACCATCTGTATAGGAGGGACGAGGTCACTTCTCAAGGGGCCGCCTACAGAGGGACAGCGGTCCTAGTGAGAAGGGACATCGTCCATCAAGAACTAGACCTACCGGAATACCAGACTATGCGCTCTATCGGCATAAAAATGGAGGCGGCGGGCGAGGAACTTAGGGTTTATGCAGCATACCGCCCGCCAGGGACTCCATTTTGCTCCTCAGACGTCCAGAGGGTAATGGAAGGCGAAACACCGACCATCATCGCCGGGGACCTAAACGCTAAACACCCGGCGTGGGGATCTAGACTGATCAACCCGCCGAGTCACGCACTTTTTGAAGATGCCGAAAGACACGGCTATGACGTTTTAGGTCCCGAAGAACCCACTTATATTCCGACGGATCCACGAAGTCGTCCGGATGTATTGGACATCGTGCTCGCTAGGAACATCAACTACCCGATAGTGGTAGAGGTGCTGTACGACCTGGATTCGCAGCACCTCCCGATCTTAATTACCCTTGGCTTAAAGGCGGTGACTACGCCGCCCAGAACAATGAAGACACGTGTCGACTGGAGGCTCTACCACAAACACCTACAGGAGAGACCTCTCCAGTTGCCTACACGACAGCTGAACACACAGCGAACGACGCAGAGGCCGCAGCCGCAAATATGACAAAGGCGATACAAGAGGCCCTCAACGCTGCCTCTACGATCGTCCCGATGTCCACCAGAAGGGATGATCTGCCGCGACACATCTGCGTGCAGATTAAGAGAAAAAGGGCCCTAAGGAGACTCTGGGCGCGTACTCGCTGCCCGAGAATCAAAATGAAACTGAACACCTTGTCGGAGGAACTGTCGGTTGCAGTCCAGGCACACAAAGGAGATGCCTGGGAGCGGCGCATATGGAAGGCGGAAGAACATGATGCGTCGCTCTACAAACTGAACCGACAGTTAACTAAAGCCAAACCTCCCGTTTGCCCGCTGACCAACAACGCGGGTGAACGTCGTTACTATGCCAAGGGTAGAGCGGATATCCTAGTCGAGCACTTCGAGGAGCAATTTATGCCGAACCCAGCAAGTGCGGAGTTCTTGGAGCTTCATGCCCAAAAGGAGAGTCGCGTACAGGAGTTCCTGTCGTCGCCCGCGCCGCCTCTTGCAGGAGAGTGGTTCATCTCCCCCGCTGAACTGCGGTGGACAGCAACCCGCCTGCAACCGAGGAAGGCGCCGGGGCACGACGGGATTACCAACGCTGCACTCCGACAGCTGCCCCATAGAGTCCTAGTAGAGCTTGGTCGACTCTACAATGGGATACTGCGGACATACCACTTCCCGGAGGACTGGAAGAAAGGCAAAGTAATCGTCTTGCCGAAACCCGGGAAGGACAGGCGTAGAGCTGCCAGCTACAGGCCGATCACGCTGCTACCACACATAGCTAAACTGCTTGAAAGATTTGCTAAGACGCCTCCGCCCGTGCATCCAACTTCGGGCGGAGCAGCACGGATTCAGGAGGGGTCACTCTACAGCAACACAGCTGACCAGAGTGCTGCACCTGCTTGCGGCCGATTACAACCATGGCCGCACTACGTTGGGCGTCTTTCTCGATATCGAGAAGGCGTTCGACAGGGTGTGGCATTTTGGACTACTTTATATATTGGAAGAACAGAGCCTGCTATGTTGCGGCTAGTGGCGTCTTTTCTGGCAGACAGGAAGTTACACGTCTGCGTAGAGGGCGCCGAGTCCGCAACCAGAACCATCAGAGCCGGCGTTGCTCAGGGCAGCTGTTTATCTCCAGTCCTGTACGCGGCTTATACCAACGACATCCCTACCCTGGCAGGCAGGCTGCAAGAACAGGAGGACGACGTGGAATTGGCGTTATACGCGGACGATAGCGCTTATTTCACCTCTTCCACAAGAGCCCATATTGCCGCTGCCAGGATGCAACGCCTCCTGGACCTATTGCCACCATGGCTAGATGAGTGGAGGATGGTCGTCAACGTAGGTAAGACGACCGCTCTGCTCACTCGCCGCCTCAGGAACCTACCACCTCAACTAACCCTCAATGGCCAGCAGATCGCGTACGAGAAGGCCGTGACCTACCTTGGGTGCCGGATCGACCGGGCGCTGCGCATTACTGCGCACGTCGACCTCGTTGTCCGCAGAGCACGATGTGCGCGGGCGATGCTACGTCCGGTCCTGGCATCCAAGTTACCACTTAATACCAAAGTGCGTGTCTATAAGACTTACATAAGATCAATTATCACCTATGCTGCTCCGGCCTGGTACGCGCTTCTGAGCGAGCCTCTGAGGCGGCGACTGCAGGCCCAGCAAAATATGGCGTTAACGAACCATCCTCGGTGCGGGTCGCTACGTCCGGAATGACGTCATAGCGGCCAACCTGAAAATTGCTACCATCCAGGAACTTGTGGCCCGGTTGGCGCGCGGACTGTTCGACCGTGCAGACAACGGGCCACACAGACATCTAAACAACTTTGCGCCGCTACACTCTCGCCCTCCGGACGGGCGACCCTATCCAAGAGAACTCCTCTCTATATCGATTAGAGAGTCGAGTAACAACCCTCAATGCCGCTGAAAGGCCAACCCTGACTTTACTGGACAACCTTCCTTTTTCGTAGTCTTAACCGGCTACGAAAAAATTTCACCGATTACGGACAAATCCGAATATTGATACCAACAACGCCAATAGAAGGCTCCCAGGACCGGTCCATAGTGGTGGACCGCGAGGACAGCACGGGTAATGGGGGCTTACCCCGAGGCCCGAAACCTCCATGTGCCCAAAGACACGTGAAGAAGACATCAACGTTCAAACTCTACGGTTAAGTAATTTATTCAATATTTTCTTTATAGTTGTCTAATATTAAGGGTTTGTCTGGTGGATAATAGTTGGGCCACTATTATTTTAAGACGCACTATGGTTAATACTGTTAATATTGTTTCAAATTAATTTTGTAGACATTCTTAGGAAAAAAAAATTTTGAACCAATGCTAGTTTTTTAGACATTCTTAAGACTTAACTTAATGCGCAATGTATGTGGTTAATTATTAAAAATAGTGAAAGTGTCAGATCGAACTTGCTCTCTCGCTTTCGCAATTAATAATTATAAAATAAAAATAAATATAATATCTTTATTTCAGGCAACAGAAAACCCATACAAGAATGTTAGTAAAAGTTTAAGGGAAATATAAATTTTAGTGTTTGTAATTGATTTAATTTAAAATAATAATAATCACAAATATAAATGTCAATGTTTGAGAACAGCTGCTACCAGGGTACCGGAGTCTTATACCGTGGTATGTAGCCGTATCCAGTGCTCAAGCAGCGACCAGTCCCACCTGCCTGCCATTATATTGAGGATGCTATTGCAGCTGCCCCCAAACGCATCAGCATCGATGTAACACGTTTTCTAATAATGGCATGGAAACCAGCAGTGTGCATTTCAGAAAACATTCTGGACGCGCCGCAAAAACGCGACAGCGCCATCGGCATCCTAAACCCGTTATTTATACTGGACACGCAACGCGCTGTACACCCACCGCGTTTAGTTAACCCAAAGTTTTCCCGTGTAAAAATACAGGCCGTAGGGTTTAAAAATAGTAATCTACCTGCCAATTTCAACGAACAAACCCACAGGCCACCATGTTACATCGGATGGACAGCGTCATGCGTTCCCGCTCGATATCCATATTATCACGCAGATCCTCAGTCACCCAGTGACCCAGATACTTAAAATGTGAGACACGTTTTATAGGTGAGTTGTTGAGTGTAAAGTTAGTAGCATTTGATCGGGATTTGACTCCTGCTTTGAACACCATAAATTCGCTCTTTTCACATTGTATCTGAGTCGATGGAACACTGCATATGCTTCACATACTTTTAATAGTTTATGCATGGCGCCAATCAAAGGCCTGAGCAGTACTGTATCGTCTACGTAACTTATGTTATTGATACATACACCGTCAATATGACAGCTTAGATTTGTTCTGCTCAACTCATCGATCAGATCTTTAATATACATATTAAAGAGGCCAGGAGATGTAAGATCGTCTTTCCTCACCCCACATTTAAGCCGTTATATATCAAAGTATGAGCTCGCCCATCTAACATAAATAGCAGTAATAAGACAGCGTAATGCACTACACATTCAGTGTAAGGCAATTACAGTTCGATTCTACCGTAATATGTTCCCTTCAAAACTACGTACTAATGTAACGTGAATAACAGAATTACAACACAACTACACATTTGGTATAACAAAGCAGTCCCTCAGAAAAATCACACCATCTTCCTTGCTTGCACCAGAAGAATCACAATAACGGACAGAATCACCATACTATCTTAGCACTCGCAGAATAATTTAGGCAGAATTTCCTGCGCAGGAAGCCTACAGTGAACTTTATACTGTACCAACAAATGAGAGGATGGTTTGTCGATATTATAACCATCACCATCGATATGACTTTCTGCTAGAGTGACGCAATTTCCCGCTCACTTTTGACCCAACTGGTATTTCACATTTTAAAGCCATCTTTAATTTGACTAAGAAAACACTGCCATTATTTATGTGCGCCCTTTGTCAAAGTGATTTGAAGTTATTTCAGATAAGTATGTAATTTGTTTCGTATTTGCCTAAAAACTGTAATTGTGGTTAATGAAAAATGCTATATATGTATATATATATATATATATATATATATATATATTACATAGCACAATTACCGTGCCGGCTGCCCGCCCGCGCCGCGTGACGCAGTTGTTGTTCTGAACTGTTTATTAGCACTCAGAGAAATACAACAGCATAGCACAATTACCGTGCCGGCTGCCCGCCCGCGCCGCGTGACGCAGTTGTTGTTCTGAACTGTTTATTAGCACTCAGAGAGATACAACAGCATAGCACAATTACCGTGCCGGCTGCCCGCCTGCGCCGCGTGACGCAGTTGTTGTTCTGAACTGTTTATTAGCACTCAGAGAAATACAACAGCATAGCACAATTACCGTGCCGGCTGCCCGTCCGCGTCGCGTGACGCAGTTGTTGTTCTGAACTGTTTATTAGCACTCAGAGAAATTTTTGTATATTATGTAATATATATTATTCTTACCTGTCTCGATTGAATCATGCGATTTGCCATTGCGATGATTGAAAATTATAGATTTGACAAATTTTAATAAGAGTTCAGTATATGGCTAGCAGTGATAAGAGGTTGTGTTGCGCAGGAGAGCTGATGGGCGAGGAGATAAGCCCGTACGCGACGTTCAGCATGTCTGAGTGTGCGACGGGCGCTAGTGCGGGCGTGGGCGCGGGTGGCGGCGCGGGCGGCGGCGCGGGCGGCGAGCGCAGCTGCGCGCTGCACCTGCAGGCGCTGGCGCGCGCCGACTCACTGGAGCTGGCGCCGCCGCCTCGTCCGCACCTCGCGTCGCACGCCAGCGGTACCTGCCCATCCACAAATAGCCACCCATTAGATTGATAACTCGCGTGACATACTTACAATGTAGTGGCAGTATAAGAATATCCACTACCCTTTATCGTCCTGTGGGTGATATAATCATACAGCATCTTCCTGATAAAAAATCATAACAATAAAAATTGTGGTTGCTAGTCCACCTGCCTGCGTGGCAACTATGAATAAATCCCCCCATGAAGCAATCTATGGAAGAGGCCTACGTTCGTGCCTATGCCGTGCACTATAGGCCTTAATGGATCGATGGATGGATCTTTACTTGGTAGCGTGACGGCTTGTCACGGTGTGTGATAAGTTCTGAGTTCTGACTGAGTTCATTATTGGGCTTGGTGCTAGCAGCATACAATGATGATAATGTATTTTTGCTTGATTGTGACAAAACGAAAACTTCAGAATTCATCGAAAACTATTTATTGTATTAGTTATAGTTCACTCTTTGTAAATGTATCCAGTGCAATACAACTATTTCTTATATTTTTACACGAAACACCTCACGTTTAATGAAACTAATTTTACGGGACTTCTGTGACCAAAAGTTACTCTAAAGCGACCAAAAAGTCGAGAATTATTTTTTTTTTAAATTAAACGTATTAAATTCCGAAAAAGTATTTTTATTTATTATAAATATGCTTTATAATTGCTACATCATCGAATCTAATATGACAAATATGATAGAATCAAAATTCCGCGTTACGCACACAAGCACTCAGACCTGCTAACCAATCTAGTACAAAGTTGAATTGATGTCAGGTAGATTTTGGTATGTTAAGCACTCTGTATCCGAAAACTTATACATAAGTATTTCACGAAGTTGTAACAATAAACATGTCATGTCAATTAAATAACTTTTTAACACGTAATATTATGTAATATCGAAAATGTGTAAATAGATAAAGTTAAATTAGTTGGCTAACACCAGCGTAAAAAAATTACGTCTAGGTAAGATGCATAAAGTTTTACCTAATTTGAGAGAGCTCAAGCAGATCTCTTCAAATTATGTAAGACACAACATTTTTATTTTTTTAAGCGGATAATAGCTAAATAATTTCAACATGTTTATTATAATAGATTTTCGAAAAGTAACATCTGCTTCTATTAATTACTGTAAACATTTTGAAGTAGAAACAAAAATTTTAAAAGAACTATGATATAAAAGGAGGCAATAAATTTCAGTTTGACATTTGATTCCGTTCCAATATCAGTAGTGTTCCCAAAGAGCTATTTACGGGAATATCAATGAGCGACCGCAGAGCTCGGTGTTCGGTAGGACTTAACCGATAAATCTGCAGAAAATGGCGCCCGCTGCACCGGCAATTTCCGTTGAATCTATTATTGAGGTCGACCGGGCGAGGAATTGCCTGCTCTCTCGAACGGAACATCTCCCGCTGCGCTTCAATGCACTTCCATGTATTAAAATGTTTCCGAACGATAAGTAACGATGAAGTAAAGCCATTTTTGTTACGAAACATGTTCTTGAAATGGGAAAGACGGTTTTAATTGCTCTTAACGTTATCGTTATGTAAATCGTGTTCACTCCAAAATACCAACGCAAAATAATGCTCTGTTGCTTATTGTGTGAAGAGCGACGAAAACTGGAGACCATTTTTACTAGAAACGGAGCAATCTATCATAGTCCTAAATTAAAAAGTTTATATATTAATAATAGCTAATAATAAAAAACCTGAAGGTACTCCGGGTTAACATTGACATCGGCACCTCAGTCCCCCGTGACCGAGGGTGCTCGAAGCACCCGAAACGTCGAGAATTAAAAATAATTTAAATTAAACACGATAAAATCCGTAAAAGTAGTTAAAATCAATTAATGATTTGTATCTACGAGTATTATAGACTAAGTTCTAATATTAGCTGCCTTAGCATATTTTGTCACCCTCGCTTCAATAATAAAAATCCGTTAAGATTTTCTTTCCGTTTTGACCTTTCATATAAAATAAAGGATTTTTCTGCAATAACATTTGACATTTTACATCAGAAATAATCGTATATTTACTCGGAATTTTAACAAATATATATAAATATACACTGACTTCATATATCATCAGATCTATTTGTACTTTACATAGGACTACGAAGGAAATATAATAGAGACGACTAATTATAAACATAATACAATACAATAATTTTTATTCGATATATTTTATTATATAATACTTATTGAAATATAAAATATACAATATATCGACAAAGTAAAATAAAAAGCTAAGAATGTTAATTATAATTAACCTTAGAAACATGATGTTACATAAAATGTCCCACTTTTATAAAATGTATCTACTGCGTGGAATTCATTATATCGGCAGTCTTGCAATTTATCTGTATCCAATGTAACTAATCGAGACAACATCAAGAGTCGGTCGAGGATAGTGACAAAGATACGGGGACGATACATAGTTTATCATTAGCATAGCCTAACATTACTATCGCAATCATACCTCGACCTCGCATGTTCAATGTATATACTAACTTCCGTCAGTATTACGACTACTGTTAATAGGGAGGATATGATTAATGGACTGAAATGAAAAATTGGATGTAACTAGTCTACACTGAGATGGCGCGTGTCCGCAGAATACGGCAGCGGGTCGGAGTCGAGTGGCTCGCCGTGCGCCGCGTGCGCCGCAGAGCTGTACCGCGTACCCGCCGCGAGACTTGCAGGTACGCATACATGCTGCACGCATAATGTATCAATTTTTGTATTATTTTAAAGAAAATTTTTAGCTATTGACCATCAATTTTTTATACTCCAATGTGGAAATTAACTATGACTAAACTTTCACATGTAGATTAGAAAATAAAAAAATGTAAAAGACAAAATCAAGACACTAGACTTGATTTATAGACACGTTGCCGGCGGGCGAGTGGGACGTGGAGGAGCGACGGGGCGTGCGGAGGGGCCTACGGGGTGCGCGGGGGAGTGGACGGCGCGGGGGGGCGTGGGGGGGAGCAAGGGGAGTGGGGCGGACGGGGCGGGAGGAGCGCTGCGGCACCGGCACGCACCGCGACACGAGACACGCGCACGTACCCATTGCCAGGTATCAGCAGCTCTTACGTCAATAGCTTAATGCCCGAGAATTAGTCTGACTAAACACATTTTGGTGAAAATGCGTCCTTAAATATCTTCCATAGCGGGAGGCAGTTTAGAAATCTGATGATAATAAAATCCGGTGAGAACTTTGACGCATCCCTGTGAAGTGGAGTGCGACGCAATTTTGGAGTCATTTCTTTACGTACATGTATTCACATAAAGCACATGGCTGTATTCACGACACAGCCACACCCCAATTTTTGTCTGATTTTTAATCCACTATCATATTTTTCGGATGCCATGTTGTACCGCACAGAACAGCACTTACTTTAATTTATCTTACTATATCACCGGCAATCTTCCTTGTTTCCATCCTAAGGAGTATGTGCACTTTTCTTCCTAATGCAGAAGACAGTTATGTGAATATGTGGAGCGTCAAAAAAAATTATATCCGAGAGTTGATCATACACATAAATGCCTTGCAACAATCAATGATCAAGGCTTAAAATATCAGTAGTCATTTCCTCTAGCAGTACTTTATGTTTAAAACACCTTCAAAAGTCCGTAGAAAATGCTAGAGTGAAGATAACGTTCCATAAACAAAAAATTAAAACTATTACATTATCTTACATTATCGGGCATCATCATTATATCATTAGGTTTATTGATTATTACAGTGAGTTCAATACAAAAGTGAGACTTGATACAGTCTTTTTTCATACTTTGTCAATTCGCCTACAATCTAACAATATTTTGAAGGAAAAAACAAGGGTTCTTTTACCGATAGTTATCACTGATCATCCAATGTTATTTTCAAAACGGATTCTTAAGCGATTGTTTACCTACTTGGCAAGCATAGGGATTATGTAACTAACGCAATAAATCCTCCATTTATTAAAATTGCATTACCAAAACTCTTTTTAGTACAAAGTGTATCTGATCAGACCAATTTCATACATAAAAACATACATAGACACTCACGCCTGTCACCCAGAGGGGTAGGCAGAGACTACAGACTACCATTTGCACGATCCTGACACACCTCTCTCGCTTCCTTCATGTCCATATACCTACGCATACATGCTCGTCTTTTAAGGGTACTCCTAATTTGGCCCGTTTTCAATAAATCGTTAATTTGGTCGATAAATTTTCACCTAGGACATCCCTTTCCGACTCTGTCATTCACTTCTGCAACATAAATTTTCTTTGTCACACTTTCCTCATTCATTCTTTCCACATGACCAAACCACCGAAGCATACCTTTTTTAATCCTGGTCACAACATCATCTTGCAAACCACACTTTTCTCTTATCACACAATTTCTCAACCCGTCATTCAGATTCAGCCCCAACATACACCTTAACGACCGCATTTCTACTGCGTTTGTTCTACTCTCGTGCTTTTTCTGCCACACCCAACCTTCACTACCATACATTAAAGTAGGGACCAACACAGCATTGTGAATTTTCATACGTACCTTTTTTGACACATTTTGACTTCATTCAAATTATAACTATATGATGAAACAAATTCTATGTTTATTTATTAAACATATTAAAACTTTAGACCATACTAGTACATACTACGTTATAGCAGGATGCTATTGTGAAACTGCTGGTTTTTAAAAATGTAATGTAAAGTATTTGTACGATCCAACAGTACATTTCTTCTGGCATTAACATTTTACGCAAATTAATCGCTATACAATTTTAAAAATTGTGTCAGTTCACGTATTCATCTCAACCGTGATAGACGCAAACTCATTAACATAACATAAGATATTTTATTCTTATATTTTACACTTGTTTAATGAACTTTTTTAAAACAAACTTTAAATTATTGTTGAATATACGTTCAATATCCGAAAATATTTTTGGTCTCTCAAGCCGGATTTGAATCAGCAACCGTGGATTGGAGTCATTAGAAGTTAGACGTATTTATTGTAATAGAAAAAAACAACAGTTGTGATTAAATAGAACCGGTTTCTGTTCGACGAGCAAACCAATATTCGAATACAAATGTTATTTGTTATTCGGATAGGTAACATCCCCAACGTTATATCGATGAAAATATATGGAACCTGTATCACCTGTTCTTGTTAAATAATAATAACAATAATCTGGTATCTGAATTTTACCGTTGAATTGGAAAAATTAATACATCTATACAAATATTATTTAACAAATATTAACCGATAACAAAATATATGTATAATTAACTCATAAGATTGGTGTATAAAATTGCAAATGTATCTGAAAGTTTGCAATTGTGGCCGACATTATCTTTAAACTGTAGTACAATTTGGCAGAAAGCAAGAAGTTAGTGAGAGGTATAGGTCTGATGTAACAGGGACACATGGTACAGCTTGAAACTGTTCCTATCGAAATTTGTTGCGTGTCAAAAGTCTGTTATTTTGGCACAGGCTTATGGACGTATTATTGTTATGGAAGAAAAATATATAGTCCACTTCTAATCGTTATAGATAAGTACAGAAACACACAAATACCTAAACAAATTATAACACTACCTACATAACTCATATTAACTAGGGAAAAATGAAAATAATTTTAGTTTAAATTGTTTACTACTAAAAATTCAAATTTGTTAATGGGTCTGCTAGACAATATATATATATATGTGTGTGTGTGTGTGTGTGTGTGTGTGTGTGTGTGTGTGTGTGTGTGTGTAACAATTTGGCAGGAAGCCAAGTAACCATAAAATTAAAACTACTCTAAATGTATGTAGTATAGAGTTAATTTAGAGATTTCGAAATGTAAACTACTTTTCTTTTTCCAAAAAAGCCACCGTTTCTAAGGAGATAGTCGGTAGTGAAGTTCGCTAGCTCGGGTAATGTGTTAGAAAAGTCCCTGAACTAGACTCCCGCATTCCTTGAGTCCTGGCATGGCTTAGAAGCTTCACAAATAAGGTTTCATCAATTGTTTAACTGATTGAATGATAGGAACGTGCATGGCGTAGCCAGTGATGCATGACAAACATTTAAGAATAATGCTAGTAAAAAAAATAGCATTTAACTTAGCCACTATTTCAAGATATGAACATAAAACCGCATTAGTAATAACTGAACCTTTTTCCGCATGTGCACTAATAGAAAAATCTAGTAGAGTTCCCGTTCAAATATTCAGTCTAGTATATATTTTTAAATCTTTATTACAGATATTTCTCTGCTGCCACACTGCAAGCACGTCGTGACGAGCTTTGAACGATAGTCTGTTGCTAAAAAAGTGTTGAAAAGACTGTACATAAATTGTGTTGTTACTTTGTAAGTTTCATTTTGTTGTTCCCTAACTGACTGAAAATTTTCTGGTTAATAAAGAATTGATAATATAAATTTTGTTTCATTTACTAACACAAGTTATACGAGGCAGAGCCACGCTACAACTGTATTATGGTTGCAGCACGAATGGGTCGGCTCAACCGAGTTAGGACCACGGTCTCACAGAATACCAGCGTAAAATAAAAATAATATGATATAAAATATAGTGTTTCACTCATACTGGAAATGAGGCATTGCATCTTAGTTCTCAAAGGTGACAGCGCATCTGCACTTTGATTATTAATTGCCGATACATGTAAAAGTTTATCATGCACATCATTCACTTACCAGCAAATAGACCGAGTTCTTGTTTGTCACCCTATTACTAACTATAAAATGTACGATAAAAGTCGGCTAAACATAAGGGACAAGTTGTAACTTCCAAATAGTTGGGAATATAGATAATTAATATTATTTATTTATTTATTTACTCTTTATTGTACACCAAAATACAAAACATCAAGTACAGTTAAATCTAAATTAGAATATGTACAATAGGCGGTCTTATCACTCTGAAAGTGATTTCTTTCAGACAACCTTTGCGTGGAGAACTGATGCAAACAAATGTTAAAATAGAGGGGGGCGTACAAAATAATAATAAAAATATATAAAAATACATACAAATAAAAATAAGTGAAAATTATATATAAAATATCATATAATAAATTAAATAAAAGGAGAACGAGAAAAGAAAAGTAATTTATCTAATAGTGTTCTAAGTAATACGATTTAATGAGACTTGAAAAAGTAAAGAGATTTAGCACGACGAATATGGAGAGGTAAAGAGTTTCACAATCGCACAACAGTTACGGTATACACTCTATAGAATACCCAACATCCGGTACTGCGGGCGCTTATCTACGCCAGATGAAATTGATGATGAGGTACCTCGTATTATAGCAACTAACCGTTATTTTTAAAAATCAGTAATGGTCTCGGCAAGTTGTCGAATTTGTTTGTTATATCTCTTACATTTACGACCAAAATATAATTAATGCAGAGAAATCAGATTTTGAATTCATCCAATCTAGAAATAAGATACTTAGAAGAAATATATCATACCCTAGTTTATAAGTTGAAAATGGACTTCAAAAAAATACTTCAACTACTTCCACATAAACGAGGAGACATTTCATCATTTCAAAACTCAATTTCGATTCTCAATATCAACGCGTCTCTTCTACTTCGGCCTGTTATTGGATGCAGTTTTAATTTTGTTGCTTAAATGTAAAGCCTTAGCTGTGGTGCATACTTTTATAAATATTTTAGAAAATGTTTTAACATACTCTCTAAATATAGCGACTACTATTATATGATCTTTCATTATAAAGCTCGTATAACTTTCGCCTACTTTTATAAATGCCTACCCATTATGTCCATTCATTAAATGATTTGCAACTATTTAAAGAGAAAGTTTTAGAAATAAATATTCTATTAAATTCACAAGTTATAATTTTAAATAATGCACCATAAAAATAATCAGCACCATATTTTAAAGAAAGTGATGGAAGTCCTTTTAATATATTACTTCTTAACCTTTCTAAACGATGTTCATTAATTGGATCAAACGCAATTTTCTCATTTTTCTGTTTTTTGTATATGTAATATAATGAGACCCACTGTCCACAGTGACCTGAACTTAAATTTTGAATGATGGATTTATGCAAGTGCTTAACATCTGCAAAATTTTATCTATACAGGTCGCACTAGACCGAGCAATACCAGTCGATTCTAAGAATAAATTAACAAGTTTACATGATTTAAACAATGTGGTAAACCTATTACTTATATTGAATCTTATATTGAAAGCGACGGTAGCCTAATGGCAGGGCGCGGACCGCGAACTCAAAAAGGTCGTGGGTTCGAATCTGCCATTCGACTACTGGCGTGAACCACTCGTAACACAAGCAATTTAAGCTTACCACGAGTGGTTAGGGGGAATATTAGTAATGCTAATAGCATTGTTAATATTGTTTATAAAAAAAAATACTATTGGAAGAAGTTTCAAGGAGATTAAACCAGTTTTACCATAAATCAGTAACTAATAAATAATAATTTTAAGAGCAATGTTTCTTACACTTTACACAATAAAGTCCTTTACAGGACTTTATTAATTACAAGCTCGTGGATTGACTTGTGGACTGTCCATGCGGTCGGAGCTAAGTTCTGTAAGACCCATCGCAGAAGTACACAAAAACTTTCCGATCACAGTCCTAATCTCATGCCTGTAAGATGGAAAACGGAGATACAGTATTCAGCAAATTTGACAGCATACAGGATACTGAACAGACAGATCTCTTTAATGACGTCCTCCATCGTGGCTCTATTCCGGGGGCGTGAAACTGAATTGCGGTGGTCTTGTTTTTCAAGAAAGATGACAACGCTCTCTTGAGGAACTACAGACCAATTTCCCTCCTTAGCCACGTCTACGTGCTGTTTTTGAGAATCATTACGAATCGTCTCGCACGCAGACTCAACGACTTCCTCCCGAACAAGTTTCCCAAAAGGAATTAGCACCATAGACCACGTACTTACCCTTCGGCAAATTATACATAAAACCAAAGAGTAAAATTTCTACTTTGTTTTGGATATGCGGACTTTGACAAAGCCTTGAATTTTGTAGAAATTTGAACGATGCTGCAGTCGCTTCAGCGGTGCAAGATGACTGTCGGTTTATTGAAGTACTGAAATCTTTGTACAATAGGGCTACGATGACTATCCTAGTACAGAACTAGGGAACGAAATCCATCCTATAGCAGGAAAGTGTAAGACAGGACGACTGTGTGATATTATACATATATATGTTACATTTCCGAAACTTCACCGTTGCATTGGAAGCTACTGGACTGGAAAGGATACGATATTAACACATTGGTGAGTACATCAGTTACCTTCGATGTGCTGACGATACAGTAGTTATGGTAGAATTGCTGGAGGACCTTTGCATTATGATTTCAATAGTGCTTCCAAACGAATAGGTCTTAAAATAAACATGGACAAAACAAGGATCATATGTAACGTTCATGTCATAACTATGCCGGTAGTTGTTGGGAGTACTTAGCTCGAAGTTGTTGACAAGTGTGTTTACCTTTTTTCTTTTTTTTTTTATAGGATAGGGTGACAAACGAGCACACAGTCCACCTGATGGTAAGTGGTTGCTGCGGCCCATAGACATCTACATCTATCTTCCATTACAAATCAAAATGCAGATACGTTGTCACCCGTGAGGACTGAGATGGAATGCCTCATTTCCAGTAAAAAGGGTCTCCGGTTCTCTACACTCACCATACGAAATACAGCAGCATTAAGCTACTATTTCACGCTGGTATTCTGTGAGAGCGTGGTCCTTCCCCGGTCGTGCCGATCCATACCCATGCCTGAGATAAATAGTGCGACTCGTTAAGTTCAACTGTGACCGAGAGGTCATTTAACATGCTCAACTCGGCTGGGCAGCTTTCGAATCATCTTGTCAGATATATCTCAAAACTTGAAAACGAGATTGCGCAAACAGTGTGTCATGCCAGTGATAACTTATCGATCTGAGACATGGACCTCACTGCTGGCCGTAGGAGGAAGCTCAAGGTCACACAACGAGCTATGGAGAGGGCTATGTTCAGAGTTTCTCTGCTGATTAATCGATAACCGATAGGGAATAAATGTTCTCTAGTGGCAACCTTGTACCGGCAGGCAAAGTGTAGGGCGTCCCCCCCCCTAGACGCAGTGATTACCTGTTAAGATATACAGGAAGTCGAAGGATGCGTGTGGATGAGGACCGTGCTTTGCGGCATTACTTGGGAGAGGCCTACGTACAGCAGTGGTTTTGCGAGGGGCTGTTATGATGATGATGATGATAACGATTACTGGTGTAAGTCATCGAACGACCCCTAGTAATAACCAAGTCTATTTCTGTGGAGTAATTTAATATTATTAAAAACCTTTAACATTCAATCTCGTATCTTAAATCAAAGAGCCGATATATCTTTCCAATAAACTGGATTGGCCCAAAGAGCATAATAAGAAGTATAGTCTTAGAACAGTTGATAAAATATTATGATTATTTTAGCCGCTTTACTGCATTTAGAGATAGTTAAAAATACATGTTTTAAATACATACATGCGGGAAATAGAGTAAATGGGGCCCTGCACTATGTTGTGAGAGTCAAAATGTATTGAAAAAGGCAATTCACAATGCTGTTTTGGTCCCTACTTTAACGTATGGTAGTAAAAGTTGGGTGTGGCAGAAGAAGCACGAGAGTAGAATGAACGCAGTAGAAATGCGGTCGTTAAGGAGTATGTTAGGGCTGAATCTGAATGATAGGGTGAAAAATTGGGTGATAAAAGAAGAGTGTGGTTTGCAAGATGATGTGACCAGGATTAAGAAAGGAATGCTTCGGTGGTTTAGTCATGTGGAAAGAATGAATGAGGAAAGAGTGACAAAGAAAATTTATGTTGCAGAAGTGAATGGCAGAGTCGGAAAGGGACGTCCTAGGCGAAAATATATCGACCAAATTGGCGATTTATTGAAAACGGGCCAAATTAGGAGTACTCTTAACCGACGAGCGTGTATGCGTAGGTATATGGATGTGAAGGAGGCGAGAGAGGTGTATCAGGATCGTGCCAAATGGAAGTCTGTAGTCTCTGCCTACCCCTCTGGGTGACAGGCGTGAGTGTTGATGTTATGTTATGTTTAAAATACAATGAAACAATGTGTTAGAAAAACTTGCAGCCTGCCTTGCATAAACTTGCAACAAGTTAGCGGACAAAAAAATGTTAGTTAAGATGTAGAGTATGTAGTATCTAAGTATAAATAGTTTCAAAAAATTATTAAGAGTAGCATTACTTTCTTTATTTAAAGATAAATTAATTTATTAGTCAATTAGTAAATT